CACACACACACACACACACACACACACACACACACGCATGCATGCACGCACACAGGGAAATGGGGACCTGGACACTCACACCTCCCTGGTCTGTCTGATCACCCCATGCACTGAAGACCTTGCACGTCTTCCCCTTCTGGCCAGGGCCGGAGAAGTCCTGCTGCAGCCTGGTGCCCGGCTCCTCTCACTGTGCTCCCTCTGCCCACTGACCCAGTGCCCAAGCTGCTCCTTTCTGAGTTCTCTGCCCAGGCTCCAGCTTTGCTGGGCTGCTGGCCGTGCCCTTTGGCACCCTTCTGGGAGCTACCACAGCCCTAGCCTGTACAGCTTCCCCCTCCTGGACCCTCATCTCCCTGTCCCTCTGTTCCTCTGTCCCTCCCTCCTGCTCTCCCCAGTCCCCTCTGAGAAGCTCTCCCTGTAGCCCCCTTCGCTCCCCATCTTGCCCTCTGCAGGCCTTACAAGACCCTGCCTCCTCTTGCCCCGGGGCCCGGGTGTGCTGTGGGGATGCTGGAGGACAGGCCAGCCGGCCTCCACAGAAGCCCAGCAAGTGAGACCCAGGGCGGGTGGGGCTCACAGAGGGCCATGGGGGCTGAGGGAAGAGGAGGCCCCGAGGGACACAGCAGGAAGGGCAGGACACAGGCAGGGGACAGGAGAGCGCAGGGCTCTGCAGGCCTGGGCAGCACAGTCAGTGGCCACACCGAACTGCAGTCAGAGGCAGCTCTGAGGCGTGGCACGGTCTCCTCTGGCCCCAGGGCCCCAGGGCAGTGGACTGGGCAAGGAGAGGAGATGAGGATCCACCCTTCCAGAAACTTTCTGGGACACCAGGCACAAACTTGCCAAGATTCGGTCCCCTAGTTCCCCCACCACACCCCAGCTCTGGCTCCTGAACGCCCAGGGTCCTCCTCTCTGGGGGCTCAGCACCCTCGGGGCCGCCCCTACCCCTGGAGAGGCTGGAAGACACCTTCTGGGTGAAGGAAGCAGAGCCTCTGATTGCCCAAGGCCGCCTCTCAGAGGACAGGCTTCTAGCTGCTGTCACCCGTACTGGGGAGGTGCGGTCGGAAGGATCCACTCACCTGGCAGGCCGTGGTCCCGGCCCCTCTGCAGGTTGAGCGATGCCAGGTCCAGGGAACCAGGGGTGGACAGCACAAAGAGCCTCTCGGTCAGCTCCTCGTTCATCAGCTGCTCAGGCACCGGCACCTTGGCTGGCCGGGCGAGAAGGCCCCGCAGGATGGGGTCCACGCCACCTGGACAAGGTCACACACAGCTGAGTCCCTGCTGCGCTCAGGAGGAACACCATCCCATCTCTCGACCACACAGTCCCTTTGTTCTTCAAAGACACCTATGTACAATTCACGAATTGCTGTATGTGCCTCGGCCGTGGGTTAGCACTGAGCTGGAGCTGACGGTGCGGGGTCCCAGGGACCCTGGAGACTGGCCCTCGTCCCTGAGGTCTTTCCTTAGGTTCTCAGCAGAGACTTTACAGTCTTCACTGGCCTCCACTGCCCAGAACAGTGGGGAAGAGGGGTGTGGTGCCTGGGAGCTGTCAGGGATCCAGGGACCCCACTCCACCACCCGGGAAAGCTCTGAACGGAAGTGACCAGTTCCGAACATTCCGGACAGCTGGAAGAATGTGGGGAAAGGCATAGAAAGAAAAGAGGGGCATAACCCTTTGGAATCTAGCCACGCAAGTAAAATGTTTTCTGCTGCTAAGGGCCATGGGCACACTAAGGCTCACGGGTGACTCCTGGCCAGAGAGCAGGGCAGTTCTTGGAGGAGAAATGAGCCTGGCATCGTCTGCCAGCCAGGCCAGAAAAGGGGTCTCCACTCCAGTGTCTTGAGACCTGGAGGAGAGTCCCCTGCACCTTCTCCATCTATACTGAATCCCGAGGAACTTCAGAAACACAACAGGGGATGTTTGTGATAAACAGCTCACTTTTTAGGAAGCTTGGAACACATTTTCCCCCAACAAACACTGGTAATTTGGACGGCGTCAGCCAAGGGCCACAGAGACCGCGCTGGGCCAGGCGGCCCATGGGCTGCAGGGCCCGGCCCGGGACAGGACCCACCTTCCCCGATGAGCCTCCAGGGGCTGAAGAAGGCATCGCCCAGCAGCAGCGGGGGGAGGTCCGGGTCGTCCTTGAAGGCCGTGTCCAGCCGCCTCGCCAGGGGGTGGATAGCGGCGTGGCCGAAGCGGAAGGCGGCGGTGGCGAAGACATTGGATACCGTGGGGTTCACAGTGGGGTCGTAGCCTTCGTAGGGGCCCACGTGCTGCCGGAAGGCGTCGGGACCCAGGATCCTGGGGCTGTAATCCCTCAGGGTGATGATCTGTAGGCAGGGAAGCGGGGAGAGTGGAGCGTGGGGAGAGTGGAGCACATGGGGCAGGTGAGGCTCACATTGGCAGGGAGGACCCCGCCTTCGTGACAGCCGGGGGCTCGCAGTCTGCGCTGGGATGCAGCAGGGAGGCCCGCTCAGGTGAAGACATGGGCCCGCAGGTGCCCAGCACGACCTCTCCCACCCACTCCGGGGGCAGCACGCGCGAGCACCTGGTGCAGGGCGCCCACCACCTTGCGCGCCTCCTGGTACACGGTGTCCGCGCTCCAGTGCGGGTTCAGGGCCCCGAGCGCCGCGGCCAGGCGGTTGTGCTCGCGCAGCCACAGCGTGTGCAGGGCGGCGAGCGCAGGGACCTCGCTGGCGCGGCCGTCGCCCGCCAGGAAGCAGGGAGCGCGGGCTGCGTGAGGGGCGCCGGGCGCCGGGGCGCAGGCGGCCGGCGCGTGCAGCGGCGTGAAGGGCAGGAGGGCGCGGCCAGCGTCGCGGTGGCGCGTGTTGACTCGGAGCCGCCCAGCCGCGCCGGCCCAGTCGCGCAGGAACCGCTCGGCGGCCGCGGAGCTGCCGTAGACTGTGGAGGCGTCTAGGAAGGAGGTGAGCGCGTTCACCTGCTGCCGCGTGGCCGCCGCGGAGAGATTGACCAGGAGCGCGCCGCGTGTCCCTGAGCCGCAGGCGGCCGCCGAGCGGGAAAAGGGCAGGCACCGGGGGCCCTGCGGGGCGTCGGCGGGGAGCTGCGGGATGAGAGACGTGGTCACCTGGCTCGACCCGCAGTGCGGCAGCCTCTGCACCCCCCACCCCCAGGACAGCATGGCCTGGTACTGCAGACCCTGAGCTCCGATCCCCGCCCCCCCGTCCCGTCAGGCCTGCCTGACGGCCTTGAGCCCCGCTTCTCTGCTTTGTCATCTGAGATCTGGAGGGCCCCAGCGTCTGCAGGTGATGCCTGTGTCACAGCGGCTCAGCCTTGCACGGAATGAAGACGACGGAGCCGCCGCCGATGGAAGCGGAGAGACCATCTGGTTAGGCCCCCCTCACACTGCGCATAGAAAAGGGCTCCTAGTGAAGTTTATACCAAGCCCTCAGTGTGGGAAAACACATCCATCACCTGCCGCGATGGCTAAGACCTGTCTGTCAGAGACAATGCATGTCACAGATAACTATTAGAATTTAAGATTTATTTTATGCAAAATAGCACCAAAACCAAAGGCAAGCAACTCTGTGTAACTGAGGACTGGGCTGTAGAACATGCAGGCTCCCTCTGCAGCGCCAGACAGTGCCCTTTCCGCTGCCCCCACCACCTTGTGGGAGGTGCCCCAGGCAGTGAGATCGTGCTGTACTTCCTGTGCAAGCACACCCGATGGTGTCTACACCATCGCAGGTTCACTGTATGATTCCACCCCAGAGCCTGCGGTGCGTGGCTGACTGTATACAAAAATGAAACAACTCAATAGAAACAGGATGGAGGTAGGGTGGTAATGTGTGGCCTGTTAGCATGGCACCCGTGGAAGTTAATATTAATTTTTGCTGAGAAGCGATCAGTTAGAGCACAGTTGAGACCTACTGCCTGTGCACTGTGGGGTATCGGTCAGGAGTCCACCCCTGCTACTCGTCACTGGCCTGCTGCGGTCAGTGGCCAAGCCAGACCCGGACAGCACATTGGTAAACACCTGGCATGGCTCATTTATCCTCAGAGAACACCTGCTCTTGACCCATCTAGGTTTTCCCGAGCAGATTATGTGAGCCCTGACTGTTCAGAGCCAGGTGCTTTCTGCCGGCCACACCTGCAGAGCCAGAATCGGGCGGGACAGGGCAGGTCCTGAGACCTGGTGTCAGCACGGGTCATTGTCAGACCCCTAACACTGTGTTTAATCCACAGTCTCACGAGGCCTCTGGACACATTTGCCTGGGGAAGACTGCATGCAAACTGGATATGGCAGATGGTGTGAGGCCTTTTCTGGTTTTCACTGGAACTCAAAGTCCTGACCTGCCTCACTCTCACTAAGAACTTTCTATCCTTCCCATCTGCCACCAGCACAGACACCAAGCTGCGTATCTTTAGAGAGCCACTGGGAGAAGAGCTACAGACTTTCTAATCCGGGAAGCACTTTACCATTTCTGAAGTTGCACTGACCCCCTAGGGGCACCACAGTTAGCTCACACCCGAGGAGCCACATTTAAATTCATGGTGCCCACAGTCGTGATGAACCCTTGCTGCATGGTTAGGCAGGAAGCATTGCCCCTGAGTTCCAGCCCAGAGCCTAGCACCTCACCCTGCTGAAGACAGAGGGTCCATACTTCATTCTCTACTTTTCTGCCTGATTTCTCAAACAGCCCAGATTAGTCTTAAGGTGAAAGACCAGGCATCGGGCGCTACCTGTATAGGGAAGCAGGGGCTCCGGTTCTCACAGGTCAGCTGGCAGTCGGCGCCGGCCGTGCTCTGTGGGGTGAGTGCCATGTCATGGCCGATGTACTGGCCCCACACTGTCAGGAAGTCGGAATACTGGGCGTCCTCGGTCACTGCCTCATTTGGAACTTGAATAACTTTCTGAGTCACCTCCCGTACCTGGTGGACAGAGACCAGCCGGTCATGGTCAAGGCATAGGGAGGGCACACTGAGGGGGGAGGGGGATTCTTGCCCTCAGACCCATGGAAGCCCTGTGCCCTGTGGCGTGGTGGAGAGAGCTGAGCTGCCGGGCCAACAGAGCTGGACAGGGCAGGCTCAGGAATCACAGTGCCACAACCGTCAGCGTTCAAGGCCCCCTGCAACTGGGCCTGGTCCTGTGTCTGGCACGAGATGACAAGAGAGTGCACCCCTTCTGGGGGGACCTGAGGGTGCAAGAGAGCAGGGTGGACGGGAGCCTGAGCCTTCCTCCATTGGGCCCAGCATCTGCTCAGCTTCCGGGACCCCAGCCCTCTCGATTTACATGGTGGCAGTGCCCATGCACAGCTGGCCCAGGCTGCCCCGACGCTCCGCTGTGTTCTCTGGGCTGGGCCCAGTGCCTGGGGTCAGGTTTCTGAAGGGTCTGGAGTGGAAAGGGGCAAAAGAGCAAATGGGCCATGTGTAGTGGTGCACACCCGTAATCCCTGCATTCTGGGAGGCTGACGCAGGACAGCTGCATGTTTGAGCCTAGCCTGGGCAACTTCATGACTTAGTGAGACTCGGTCTCAAGAATAAATAAATAAATAGAGCTGGGGATGTAGTTTAGTGTGAAGGCCCCCAGGTTCCAAGAAAAGAAAAGAAAAGAAAAAAGAGAAGAGAAAAGAAAAAGGAAAACAGGCCAGGTCAGCCATTGGCATGGGTAGTTGGACCAGGGGCACGGTGGCCCACATCTTGATCAGTAGATGGGGCACAAGCGACTTTCACAAAGGAGGCTGCCTCCGGGAATAAAGCAGTGCCTCATCTTTACACAGTGAGGGAATTAATGAATAACAAGGTATGGATCTGATCTTCTCCTTGATGAATAAGTGAATTTATTTAAAAACAATGAAGTGCTTGTCAGAGGAAAGAGGCAGAAGGGAGACGGAATTCGACTGCTGACTTCTGTCCCCCTGACTGGCTGAGCCACCATTGTCCCGGCCTGTCCCCAAGCTTCACAGCGACACAGGACAAGGCTCGGGGCAGGAGGAGCAGGACCCTGAGCAGCAAAGGCTACAGGGATCTGGGGGGTCTGCCCACACTCAGGGAGCCAGCCCCACCCAGGCGAAGCAGCACCAAGCACCCACCGGGGGCAGCGGAAAGCCGTGATACAGGAGGCTGGGGTTCCAGCCTCGGGGCTGGCTGAAGCCATCTTCGTAGGCTGGAGGGAGCCAGCGGGCCAGGGCTGTGTTGGAGGCGCCCCAGGTGGGGTGATCCCTGCAGGAGGGAAGGCACAGGCCTGTTAGAGACAGAAGAGAGAACAGAGCCCAGGGCCGGGTCCAGTGCCTGAGTCCACCCACCCCTGCCATGCTGGAATCACCTTGAGCTGCCCGCTCCTCTCCTAAGCCAGCCCCTCGCCCTTCCCAGGCTGGTCACTGCAGCGATTCTGGCCTCTTATGCAGTTTTAATCAAGGCCCCATCTGTCCCATGGGTCACTGCCTGCTCCTATCCCATGAGCTCATCACGAGAACCAAGTTTCCGCTAGAAACGGGGCGCTTGGGAACTCACTACAGTGCTCCAAATTCAGAAGTCAGATGGTGGTCAAGGAGATATGGATTAATACATTTGTTGGAATTAAAATGAAGTTAGGGTGGCTGTAGCTTAGCAAGACCCTGTCTCAAAGGAAAAGAGAACAAGCAGGGGATGCAGCTCAGTGTGAAGGCCCTGGGGTCGGGCCCAGATAGGGGGAGACAGACAATGAGAGAGAACAGGTTAGGCCCGTTCTGAGAGCCTTGTGTTCACTTGACTAGGAGAATGAACACAGTCAATACTTTTCATAAAACACAGATCTGCAGTTTTTTTCTATGGTTCAAAATCTATTTTGGCAAAAATATATTTAAAGTGTATGCTAAGGAATGAATGTTTTTAATAAAATTTTTATTTCACAAACTACTGAGAATATTAGGTAAAGTACTTCTAAGTAGAAGGGGAACAGATAAAATGAAAAGTCATTTGATCTGTCTTGGAGAACCTTCTGCAAATGGAGAGAAAGAAATGTCAATGATTGGTTATATTCCTTGTGAAAATTAGGTGCTTTTCGATTTCTATATTTTTTTTAGAAAAAAATTTATAGGTGAGTTACAATAAATACCAGCTTAAAGGCCAAAAAGAAAACAAGTGAGAATTTTCTGGTAGTGAACAAAAATGGGTTGTTTTCGGTCTAAGGAGTGTGAAGGCATCTGTCACACCCACATGGGAAGGAGCACCAGTCGAGGCTGAGGGTGGCTGCAGAGGCCGAGTGTGGTGACACCTGTGTTGGAGGGCTGGGGAGGTGCCGGGGCAGAGGATTCGGACTGGAAAAGTCGGGGATCTGGACGTTTACAATTTCATCCGTGTATCTGATGAGTAGATGCTTAGAAAATATGGAGCGTGAAGAGTACATAAGTTATTTTTTTTAACCTTTTAGAGTTTTTGGAAATACAAATATTAAAAAGTTGGTTGCTTTGTTACAAAATTATTGTCACCCTTACGGTGACAGCATTTTACTTTTATACAAGTGATTTGGATTTTCTGCAGAGGGAGAGGTGTGATGTGTTACTGAGACTGCTGGCAACATGGACAACCAAGGGCTGGCTGGGCCTCCTAGAGCAAGTACTGTAGTCAGCATCCTCCTGCCTACAGGGCTGTGGACAGCAGAAAAGAGGCCTCCATTGCTTTCAAGGCTGCTGCTGCTAGCATTCTGAGATGGCACGGAGCAAGGGGAGATGCCTGGGGGACACCGGGGCACTGGTAGGCTGTGAGAGGAATGCTATTTACATAGCAGCAGCAGACCCCCAAGTTGTCAAAATTTGAGGCTGTGATTGGCCCAAATTCAAGCCGGCAGATTGGTTAAAATTCAAGCCTATGATTGGTCCAAACTCAAGACTGTTGATTGGTCCAAACTCAGGCCTGCTGATTGGCCCAAATTCAAGCCTTTCGAATGGTCCAGATTCACATCTGTTGATTGATCCAAATTCATACCTGCTGGTTGGTCTAAATTGAAGCTTGCTGAGTGGTCCAAATTCAAGTCTGCTGATTGGTCCAAATTCAAGGTTGCTGATTGCCCCAAACTCCATCCTCCTGATTGGCCCAAATTCAAGCCTACTGATTGGTCTAAATTCAAACTTGCTCACTGGTGAAAATTAAGAGCCTGTGATTGGCCCAAATTCAAGTGTGTTCATTGGTCCAAATTCAAGCATGGTTATTGGTCCAAATTTAAGTCTGCTAATTCATCAGAATTTGAGCAGGGGAGCGTTCTGAATTCAAGCTTGCTGATTGGTCAAAATCTGAGTCTGCTGATTGGTCAAAATTCAGGCCTACTGATTCAAGCCTACTGATTGGTCCAAACTCAATTCTGGTGCTTCATTTAAATTCCAGCCTGCTGCAGTCAGGGTCCACAGCTACCAGAATGGCCAGGGTGTTTGGCCAGCTGCAGCTGTCAGGGAGACAGTTCAGGGAACAGGAGGGGATGCCACTTGCCCCTTGCCCCGTCTTTATAAAAATTGCAAGGCTAAAATTAGGGCTGTTGTCATTTTAAGCATCCTGCATGAGAGCTGGCCATGTTAATCACAGCTTACTGGAGCTTGGGGACCTAGGGGTGTTAACTGTATGTCCGAATCCCTTCCCGGTCTTTGCTCCATTCGGAGAGCCTTCCCCACAGCCTGTTCAGAGAGGCCGGGACACAGGAGCTAGGCAGCAACACCAGGTGTCATCTAGAGAGCGGCTGGGCAGACAATGGGGCACACTGTCCTGAGATCACAGGGTGAGCTGTGCAGCCCTCCTCGGACCAGCAGAGGTGCAGAGCTGTACGACCCCTGTCCAGTCACACCTGCCCGGCCCCACCCGTCAGGGCACCACTATGGGCACACATGCCTTGGGAACCTGGGGACCCCTGCAGTCTCATCCAGCCAAGCACTCTATGATTCTCCTTGGGGGCATTAGGAATACTCAGCTCCTTGGTGTTTGATATTTAGAGTAAAAATTTTAAAAAGCAAAATACAATTGAAGAGGTGAACATGTCAGTTTTGTCGCAATCTGTGTGGAAAAAGAAAAGTAAGAAGAAAAGAGAAAAGAGGCTGCACAGAGATCTGAGAGGGAGAAGCGCCAGCTGTGCCAAGCATGAGCCCTCCCAAGTGCCAGAGCAGTGCCAGGCCATGTAGCTCCTGATCTGACGAGAGGTGCCCTGAAGCCGGATCCCGGCCAGGAATGGTCTCTGGGGCACCTGCTCACCTAGTTGATCTGAAAGATTTCAGGATTTGAAATGTTATCTGAGAAAGAAAGCCAGACAGTGTGGCCAAGGCTTTGCCTCACGAATGATCACGCTCTGTGGAAGGTGGGTAGTGGCTCTGGTCTGAAAAGTCCTCAGAAACAGAGTCTTTGTGGGGTCAGCTGTTGGGTCAGCCACGGCCTCATCTACTCAAGACTTCCACACCCTCTAGGGCCCAAGGGGGCTCCCCTGCCAGACTATCTCCTTTGTGAGCCAAGAGGCAGCCTTTGCCATAGCGACAGGGCATCCCCACGATCCCTTTCCTCCTGACAAACTACAACCCAACCCTTTTAAAATTTTTTTATTTGAGACAGGATCTCGGTAAATTCCTAAATTGCCCACGCCGAACTTGAACTTGCAATTCTCCTGCCTCAGCCTCCCAAAATGCTGGTGCTGGGATTACAAGCGTGAGCCACCACACACAGCTGGGATTTGCTTACTGAAGTGGGACAGAAGCCACCGCCCCTGGATTTTAGGCAGGGATCCCCACCCTTTTTCTACATTCTATACTAAAGGACATGTCATCTTCCCTGGGAGGGGGGGCTGCCATGTGGCAGCTGCAGGTGATTTCCACTGCAGCTCAGGGTGGTGGCAGGCGTGGACTCGCTCTCTCTGAGGCAGATGTGCCGTGAGGGGCTGGGGTCTGCTGAGGCCCAAGCGTGGCATCTGAGTACCTGGCTCAAGCCCCTAGGTGAACAGTGGTATTAGGGCTGACGTCACAGTCCCCGCCAGGCATGCAGGTAGCAGTGCCAGGTGGCCAGGCTGGGCAGGGACCGGAGCTGGGGTGGAGACTCCAGGCACAGGACAGGATGAGGAGGAGCAGCAGACGGTACCTGTTGTTGCAGGCGCCAGTGATGAGTCTGTACTTGTTTGCCAGGCAGGTGTTCGGGCATCGTGGTGGCTGCATGTAAGGTAGGCAGCCAGACAGATTTGCAATCATGTTCAGTACATCTTCTGATGAAACGTCTGAGGAACAAAGAGTGATGCATCAGTGCTCTGTTCGAAGTAGCAAACCTGCCAAAGGCAGTCACTTGCTGTTGTAGTCTCATAAGTGACTCAACTATCTGAACCAAGGGCTCCTGTGGAACCTGAGTCATTCTTTCAAGAAAACCTGCATCCTATTTCTAAGTCTATGGCTCCCTCATTTAATTCTCTCAAGCTTCTTTCTTGCTAGGAACATAGGGTTTTGCTTTGTGATGCTTCAGAAAAGCAGTCTGGGGTGGCTGAGCCTGGCCGACAGCAGAATCCTGGCATTATCGCCAATGCCACGGGCATGCACAGTGCTGGCATCAGGATCTCGCAGTGAGTCCTTCCTGTCTAGCTGCCCGGTTCTCACGATGTGGCTACTTGGCCTTTACCCCCAGCCTGTCAAAAACTTGTCTCTGTCAGGTTTGGTTTGCTGATTGTTTTCAGCTGTTCCTCTGCAAACCCCTGTATTTTTCCTTGCATTGACCTGGGATTCCTTCTTACACATCTCTAAATTAGAGCCCTATCATTGGTTCTCTCCCCGAGATGGTTTATATAAATCTTTGAAAACAATACCACAAAACTTTGATTACTCATTAATCAGATGCCAATGAGATTGAGATATTCACTAGGAAAGAGCCAGAGAGAATGCATTCCATTTTCAAATAGAAGAGAATCACACAAGCTCTTGATAAGAACAACTACTAAACGGCCTTATCTGGAACGACTGAACAAGACTCCAACACAATTTGCATTCAGTTAACAGGGGAACGCGTGTCTCACAACTGCAGTGCAACAAATCCAGTCCTCAGGGAGCCAAGAGGCTGCAACCACATAAACCAAACCCACCTTGGCAGAGCCCAGGGGAGCAGTTGCTGCTCAGTGACCAAGCGATTAAAGGGAACCTCAGGATCTTTTCACTTTTGTACACTGCGAATGTTCTAGATTGCCTATGCTTTTAAAGGAAATAATTCTCAAACATCCTGTAGTATGGCAGTCTTGGATTCTGCATCATGGCCTGGACCAAACACATCAGCCTGTTTTCCCTAGGTGTCTGCACCCTGACCTGGGCAGACGGCCCGCAGATGCTGACATACGAGCCAGAAGACACACATCTCCGGCACCAGGACACACTGTTCTTACTGTCACCCTTATCTCTCACAGCCCCAGCCAGTCCCACAACAGGACGGGGACCCATGTCCTTACAAACATTTTCCATCCACAGGGTTTGAATTGAGAACCGTTTCAAGCTGAGTGTGGTGGTATATCTGTAATCCAGCACTCTGGGAGGCCGAGGCAGGAAGATCAAAAGTGTGAGCCCAGCCTGAGCAACTTAGCAAGACCCTGTCTCAAAATTAAAAATCAAAACAAGGGCTGGGGATGTAGCTCAGTGCAAATGCCTGGAGTTGGATCCCTGCTACCACACACACACACACACACACACACGCACACGCACACGCACACTCTTCAACAATGAAACTTTGATTGCTATATAATCAGTTAAATAACTGTTAAATTTGAGAACTGAGAATTACAGTTGACACTGGTGCAGTCAAGTTTTCCAGTGAGTCCGCACTACACTGAGCACCCTGCATGTGGCCCAGCATATGAGGTACAAATGCCTCTGGGTCACATCCACATCTTCCCAACATCTCCACACTGAAGCATGGATTTCCCTACCCACAGAGACCTTGATCTAGGAAATTGCTCCTCCTCCTTTGGCCTGCAGCAGCCATCCACACAGGCGGCCAGGGATGAGCTCTCCAGCGTGTAGGGAGATGATGAGAAGAACCCCACCTCACTTCACACCAGAAAACAAAGCTGCTTCTCCACATTAGATCTGAATAGCCGAGAACCAGAATTCCCAGAGCAGCAGGAATAAGAAACCGAGACTGTTTCCAGGCATCTCAAAGAAGAGCTGCTTGTGCCCTGTGATATCCTGGGCAGTGTCAGGCCAGAAACAACCCTGAACAATAACACCCACCACGGACTGAGTGCCCGCCCTGCGTGGCCAGGCCTGGTGCTCACCGGGGGGAAGCTGCAGCTGCGTCAGCCCCAGTGCCTGGATGGAGGCCTCCATGATCTCCGCGGCTCGGGAGAGGGCTCTGCCTGCTGGCTCGGGGAGCTTGGAGAAAGACAGCAGCTCAGATGGGGATGTGATGTCCCTCTTTCTGAGGCTCCTGGGTGTAAGAAGGAGACAGAAAGTAAAGCATGTTTCTGGCTGCTTGGTTCTCAATTGCCAATTAACTCAGCATTTATTAACTACAATGATGAAACCCATACAATTCCTACCACGGGGATGTTGGAATCAGTAAAAGGGGTGGGACACAAATATAGACAGTACACAAATGCTAAATGGTGAAGGAGCAGCTGATATTTGTCCTTTAACTCCCATGCCTGCCCTCATTTGATCTTCCTAACAATGCTTCCCTTCTTATTAAAGCCTGGTCACATCTGGAGACGGGAAATGGGGGAATGCGGCTGGTCCAGGCTACTGGGGAACCAGTAAGGGTTCCCGTGAGGTCCCCTCCTCCCGACGGGGCCTGGCCCTTCTGGACTCGAAGCGGCACTGGCCACCATGGCCGGGCTGGGGCTCAGGGGTCCCCTACCCATAGCATCTAAGGACCCGGAGGCCAGGGACAGCAGCAGGACAGAGGTGAGGGGGGCAGGGACACCCAGGCGTCACGTGTGCACCCGCCGCGTGGATGCTAGGCCCTGGGGTCCCATCTGACCTTGGCGCAGGCTGGCTCAGCAGAGGGACAGAGGCACCTGCCACCCACTGCAGGGTGGGGGGCTCCCAGTCCACTCCCCAGCAATGCCTGGGGTACCCCAGAAACAAGGCTGATAGTGGTAGCAGCCGGTTGGGGATGGGCATTTAGGATACTGTATCGGAAAGACCTGCTTCTAGGTTAGTCCCACTACCGCCCTGTAGCCCCAGGCTCTGAGCATGCAGCTCAGCGGGAGAATTCTGCATCCTGGGGGCAAGGCGGCAGCAGCACCCAAGATCGGCTCCAGAGCCCCTCCCCTCACCCTGGCCCAAATCCTGGGCGGGGCCCGTTTTGATCAGCATTTCAGCCTCTCTTAACCAGAAAGTCTTGAATTATAGGTGGGATCATGGTGTTTTTGCTCTGTTTCACTAAAGAAAGAGCCCAAGATTCCGTTCATTTCTCTCCCCGTCTTGCAATGATGGCAGAAAGTGACTTTGCCCTTGAGACTGTTTCACATGAGGGCCGCCACACGGGACAGCGAATGACAGTGCCGCTGCTCCCCTCCCGCAGCCAGGTCACCTTCCCAGGGAGGTGTAGACGGCCCTGTCCACCGTGCGCACGCTTGCCTCCAGCACGCTGAGAACTCGAGCCTTCCCGGAACTTCCTGCGGGACAGAACAGCAAGGGTCAGAACCAGGGCACCCGCAGCTCCCTCCAGTCCAGCGCGCGGGGACAGCCCGTGGGTCACCGCACCCCGTGGGCCTGCGTCCCAAAGATGGGCTGCCGGCTCCCCCTCAGAGTGAGCCCCGCACGGGCAGGGAGGCGTCTACACCGCATTGCATTTCTCAGCTGCTCGGACCGCTTCTCGTGACCCTGAACAACTTTCCGAATATTTCCATTATCTGACCCACCAATAAAGTTCACAACAGTGTCTGCCTCCTGGTTGTGCGCTTAACTCAGGATGAATTCTTCAAATATGTTTGTGTCTGAGATCACTGTCACTGGATTTCATTTTGCCGGCGCTCAGACTGTCTGGTAGGTCAAGGCCCATCTTGGTCCAGACAAGTGGCAGGAGGGTGACAGGGACCTCTGCAGATGCGCCTGCCCTCCATCACTAGCTTAGCTTTTCTCTAACCAGTACTTCACTGAAAGAACAAGTACAAGTAAATGGACTGTCCAAATGGTATGAGCGTTACGTGTTTACATAGAAATAAAACTACTTTTGAAAAGATAAATTTCAGCCAGGCGGGGTGGAGTAGGCCTGCAAATCCCAGCACTCTGGGAGGCTGAGGCAGGAAGATTTTGAGCTTGAACCCAGCCTAGGCAATTTATTAACGGTACATGATCCTGTGTCAAAATAAAAATAAAAAATGGGCTGGGGGTGTAGTTTAGTGCAAAGGTCCTGTGTTCAGTCTGCAGTACAGATGGGAAGGAAGGGACAGAGGGAGGAAGGTAGGATGGAGGAAGGAAGGAAGGAAGGAAGGAAGGAAGGAAGGGGAAAAGAAGGAATAGAAAAGGCAAACTTCGACATTTCTGGAATTCAGTGGCACAACGTAGCGGCATTCCAGAGAACACGTTAAGCCAGGGTGACAGCCCAGCAGGGCCGGGTGACCCGGCAGCCTCTTCCTAAATGCCTGCTGGTGATGTCAGCACAAGAAGAGGTGGAGGCGGAAGCTGTGAGTCTGGGACTCATCCCCAGGTTGAGTGAGGACGCCCGCCCAGTGAGGGGAGCGTACGGGAATCCTGCTCGCTTTCCTCCTGGTCCTCGACACCAGTGGCTCCCCTACTGCCCAGGAGTTGCTGCTTCTGAAGTCAGCTGTGGCCCCTTTTTTTGCCAAATTCACTCATCACTTCCAGGGCAGGGTGGGGGGCCCCTAACTTTCTTCTGGCAGGGAGGCCTAGGTTTGAATCCCACCTCGGAGACCTGGCGACCAGAGACCCAGCAACCCCAGCCCTGCCATGTGCTCAGTGTGGTCAGCACGGGAAGCTTGTGCAGATTTGGGGTCAGCAAGGGCTTCGAGCTCAGGGTGCTGGGCTGTGTCTCAGCCTCCTGCGCCCTCTCCCTGTCCCCTCCTCCAGGGGTCACCTGTCTCACCCCTCCCAAACATCCGTCTTCACCTTGAACTGCTCTTCCGAGCCCATGGCATCTTGCTCTGCCCTGGCCTATGTCCCTGCCTCTAGTGTTGCTTCTGCTTAGCCTGGCCCCCCGAGGTCCTGCCAGAGCAGAGACACTGGCGGGGAGGGGTCTTCCAGAGAGAGCTGGACCCCAAACTCTTCAACTTTCTTCAGAACTGAGCATGAAGCTCCAGCGAGGCAGCTGACTCCATTCCCAGCCCGGGGCACGCTGCCCCAGCTCCTGGCTCTCCATGGGGGACTGCACCGGTTGGAGGTTGTTTCTGCTCTTTTAGGGAGCAGTGACCCCCAAAAGTTCCCCCAGTTCTACCCACGACACATGAAAGAGAAGGAATCCAGGTTGCCATCAGCAAGAAGATCCTACATTTCAGGAAAAAGAAGGAAGTTACCCAGCTCCACAAGTGTTTAGATAAACACAGCAAAGGAAATGAAACAAAACCAAAAAGAAAGCACAAATCTTCACTGTCCCAAACCACACATCGCCCGCTCCTGGTTTACCCTTGGCTGACTCTGAGCAAACCAAGTGCTCAGAGCCAAGTTTAGGACCTGGTTCTGATCATCTGTTTGCTGAAATCCAGTGAAGTGGAAGGCGCCTGCTGACTTTCCTTTCTAAACAAATCTACACTTGGGCTGGGCCCACATTTCCTGTCTGCAGCCAGCACCCCTGCTCCATTGTCTTGTGTCTTATGTTCTCTTCTCAGCTGCAACCTGCAGGAGCATTTGCTACCCGAACTGCACATAGATCTGGAATCTGCACAAACACTAGAAATACATCTCAGGCTGTGTGGATGAACACGGGGCATAGTGCTTCCCTGCCCTGCTCTGATGGGGTCTTCCAGAAGGAACTTGCGCCACATTTTTCTGGGGCCCGTGCACAGGCTTTCTGGGGAAAGGGGAATATTTATTTTTCATTTTCATATATTTTTATTGTGGAGTTTCAGGTGCTGAGTTTTTTTTCTCTTTGTACTTGGACCCTGGGGTGGGGCATCATCCTGAGCTGGCTCTGCAAGTGAGGGGACGCCCCAAGCCTGAGATACAGGTGCTGTGAACCCCAACATGCAGAATCACCCAGCAGCTCGAGCTGTGGTGCAACATAGCTGATGAGAATGTTTCTGAGAAGGGTTGTCAGGAGTCTATGTATGCTGTCCCAAATGAGCTAACGATTTGCTGTCAAGCGGTAAAAAATGAGTAAATAAATAAAAACTCCTTATAGTAAAAAATACACAATTGAAACACCGGGAAACAAATCTACTTTCTGAATTAGAGCTTTATGAAGTAAATACTGAGGCAGCTTCAAAATATCCCAGTGGAAGGACAGGTTGCAGTGTCATTATAAATGCTGTACAATGCACTTTAGGGGCAGGAGCCAGGGCTGGGAGTCAGGAGCAAAGTGACTGGACCTCGTGCAGCCCTGCAGGAGGCCGGCGCCCTGCCAGCATTCAGCCTGAGGAAAGCTCATTTTCAGAACTTGTGACTTTTTAAAGCAAAGAGTAATTATTTTAACCAATGTATCTCAGTAGCATGCTCAGCCTAATCTAGAATTATAGCACACTGATTCTAAAAATATATCACAGATGTTAGTGAATGGAAAAGAGTTTCATAGAGAAGGAACAAAAATACAATGGAAAATATTCAAGTATATGAATGGGTAAAGATGAAATTGTTTCGTTCTGCAATCACAGAAAAAACAGTTCTTCAGAATTTTATTTTAATCCTTCTAAATATAAGAATGACATTTTTCTCTTTGAAAGGCATACCAAAGCATGCACTAAGCCAGGTGTAGTGGTGCATGCCTGTAATCCCAGCACTTGGGAGGCTGAGGCAGGAGGATAGCCATGAGTTCAAGGGCAGCCTGGGCTACAAAGGGAGACTCTTTGGTCTCAAGCAACCAAACCAAACCAAACAGAAATAGAACATGTAATAAAAGGGTCCTAAGGAGCTGTCAGGAGCTACCACTACACTTTCTGTTTGCAAGTGGGAAATATAACTTTCTTGATAAGGCCAAAGGTTTGTATTTTATTGCTACTTACCCCAGAGGAGTCCTCTGCCTCTCAAGATGAAAGGGAGGAGAACTCCAGCACAGAGCACCACCAGTTTGATGGCTACCACCACAGGCTTCCTCATCCCGAGGCTGGAACGGCACAGGGACCAAGCTCTCAACAGTTGCATGAGGCCAGCCAGGGACCAGCCCTGCCGCGGCCTCTGAGGAGCCTGGCCCTCGCTCGGGGGTGCACTCTGCATCAGGGGACTCAGGCAGGCTCTTGGGTTGGCACCACCCAGAAGCTGCACTTCCTTGTCTCACAGCCCTGTTGCCAGATTATCTCAGTAACAACCCACTCTAATCCGCAGTCATGTCACATAGTGAGATGTTACTGGGAACAATGACTGGGAAAAAAAGAATCTATTTCTCCTGACAGATCCACGAGGGACAGATGACTCATATTAAGAGTTTAGTGTTTATAAAAGTGGTAAATCAAATCCCCAACCCCTTACTGAGTTTCTTAAAGCATTCCTAGTCTCGTAAAGTGATTTCAGAAGTGCAGAGCTGTGAGAAAAAGCAGAAGATTCCATCCTTTCTGCTTTCCAAATCTTTGCTCTTGTCCCCTCAGACTCTGCAGCTGGCTTTGAACTCCAGGCTTGCTCCACAGGGCACTGGAGGGGCGCACATCCCCAGAACAGGCGCTGTCAGGCTGGCCTAGCTCGGCTCCCTGAAGCCCTGGAGGCACAGCTCCCTGGGAGAAGGACACCTACTTGTCCCTCAGCCCTGAGAAGGCCTCCTGAGGACCACTGTGGGGTCCCACTTACAGATTTCTCTCAGGAAATGAAAACCCAGAGCTTTGCAGCCTGACCTTTCCTGCTTCACAGCAACAGAGACAGTGTGCTCAGGTGGGCGCTGTGGCAGCCTGACTCCTGGGTGTGGACTCACTGTGCTCGGAACTCAGTCACAGGGTCATGGCACCTGGACCCGGGCTCTGTGCTGACGTCCACTCCAGCCGACAGGAGGTGGGGCAGCCACAGAATGCACTCGGGTGTCCCTGGCACCAGGCTGCCCATCCCCGTGGGGCGGGGAGAAGGTGCCACACCGCTGAGGTCAACAGCACTCGCAGCCTCACTGCATGAGTTAGACAGGAAAGAAAATCTATGCAGGGAGAAACAGGGCACCATTACAGAGCCACCCCTCAGACCCCTGCAGCGTCCTCTCTGACCTCTCGGAGTTACACACTGTAGGAGAAAGACACGAATCTGCCAGTGCCAAATGGACTGGGTGCTGCCCTGCACCCCGCCATGGCCCTAGCGTCCCGGCCGGGACTGAGCACCCAAGCCCTTGGGACCCCAGTGCCACCCTCTCTCACACACCTGGGCCTTCGGAGCCTCCATGGCTGGCGTGGGGCCATTGCGTGGTCCAAGGACAACCTCGACTTGTGGAGAAAGATCCTTCGGTTCGACGTCAGATGACTCATACCTAGTGCACCTCTTCGTTGCTCCACAGAGCAGAAAGGACGCGTCAGTCCTCTCTGGAGCTCTTGAGTGGCTCCAGATCACTGCCTTGCCTGTCACACTCTTGAGGAGGACCCAGCATGTCCCCGGCACACAGCCACAGGAGAAACAGAGCCCAGACCCGGGTCCTCGTGACCATGGGAATCTAACTCTTCATTTGTGGGTTTCTACCTCTGCGTGTGTGGGGTGCTTTTGGAGTTCTAGAACAATTGGCCCTGAAGATGGGGGTTTCAAACCAACATAATCGCCCTTGACCTGAGAGACAAGGAGGTTGCATAATTATCCTTGTTTTTACTGAATTTGAGTGGCTCCCTGTGGTGGAAATGTCAGTGGCTGTAGAGGAACATCGTGTTTTCTGATAAACTGTTTTCTACTGGCCATTGAGGCCCCAGTGCTTGCAGGGACAGGAGCAGGCACCCTGGACTGTTCTGGACTCCCTCATCCACCTGTCAGGCCGCTGTACAACCTGAGAGGGAAGAGCTGGGGAGACTTGTAAAAAGTAAACTTGGGCCAGAGATTTAGCTCAGTGGTTCCGGTGCCTGCCTCGCAAGCGTAAGGTCCCAAGTTCGATCCCTGGTACCAAAAAAAAGTAAACATGACATTCTTGGGACAAATCACAGAAGACACTACAGCTTTTGTTAGAAAAACAGACACAAAGCAACCTGCCTGCTCTGTTGGCTGGGAATGCAATTGGAGATTTATGCTTCGGAAAGGCTTTCCGAGAGTTTCCCATTCACAGTGAGCACCAGGCAGGGCCCTCGTCTCCTCTGGGACAAGGCCTCCTCAGCTTGGGCAGTGGGCCTACATTCCCAGCCATGTGCCAAGCACAGGTCTTAGTCAGTCTGAGAGCCACGTGTGATGACTGCTGGGATTTAGCAAGGTGCCTGGCACCCTGAGCACCCTCCTAGGGTATCTGGGAAGTAATGAGGGCAGAGGGCTCATCAACATCCGCATGAAGAGAAACAGAGCTCTGGCAGGTGCGTGTGGAGAGCACACCCTGCAGTCTCAGTTATCACGAAGTTGTCCAGGTTGTGCTGGAACTTGTGATCCTCCTGCCTCAGCCTCCTGGAATGCTAGCATTACAAGTGTGCACCAGCATGCCTATGTTGTATGAGGAACCTGGTGAGCATGGACTTGGTATGCAAAGGATAGAAAGTGGGGGTCTGGTCACCTATCTTATTTTTATTAGAAATGACTATTGGGGTTCCTGCCCACAGCACGGTGAGGTCCCAGGAGCGGCTTGGTGCTCCACTTAGGCACCCAATTCCATCCCCCCACCCTGCCCCGCCTTCCAGCTCTTCTGCTACCTGGCCCCACACTTCAGAGGCACAGGGGATTATACTTCACAAAGTTGAATGTGATAGATTAATAACTACCACGAATTGTCATTTTCTAAACTGTGCTTGATGCTATGGTATTGCTGATTGTAACATTTGGCCTAACATGTTGTGATTGATCTAATCAGTTTTCCTTCCTGGCATAAGGAAAATAAAATAGCCTCAGAGTCATTAGAGCCTCGAAACCTAAACACAAGCCATATTTGGAAGACACCTCTGAAAAGCAATCATTCCACAAGGGTTTTAAACACAAGCAACAAAGATACCTGCATTAAGCAATTTTGAAATATCAACCCAGGAATTAAACCGAGGACAGTACCAAAAACAAAACTGAGAAGACATTTAATCAAGACACAAACATAGGCTTCCACACCACAAAAAGGAAATTCTGGGGGAAATGAGTGGAAAAGTCAGATAATCAACCACCTGGACACCCTGAACTGATAGCACAGGAAGTGGCAAAGCTGATATATGAGGCTCTAGAAAAATTCAAAGCAGAAATAATCTCCCAGATAAATACAGAGATGGTGAGTAGAGTGAAAGACATGATTAGAGGCTCTAGAGCAGAAACAGACAAGAAAATAGATGAGATCCGAAAAATGCTGGAAGCCATGAATGCCCCGCATAAGAAAGAAATGGAAACCATGAAACAGATTCAAACAGATATTTGGGAGATTAAAAACTCCATTGAAAGCATGCAGAGCAGACTAAGAGAATCTGAAGACAGAATATCAGTTGTAGAAGACAGGATCGCAGTTAAGGACCATGAAAATAGAGACTTCTTAAAGATAGTAAGGGACCATGAGAAATCAATCCAACAGCTGCTAGATGATGCAAAGAAGAATAACATAAGACTGATAGGAGTCCACGAAAAAACAGGAGAAAGTACAATTGACATAAAAAATACTGTTCACAGAAGTAATAGTAGAAAACTTCCCAGACAGAGGTGGAGAACTGGACACACAGATAAGTGAGGCATATAGAAGTCCACCCAGCCATGATCAAAAAAAATCTACACCTAGACATGTAATAGTCAAGATCCCAGAAACCCAGCAGAAGAACAAAATTCTACAGGCAGTTAGAGAAAAGAAACAAATCACCTACAAAGGAAAGCCCATCAGAATCATGGCAGGTTTCTCAACACAAACCTTCAAATCAAGGAGAGCCTGGAGTGAAGTATTTCAAGCCCTAATAGAAATGGCTATTGGCCAGGTATGGTGGTACACACCTGTAATCACAGAACTTTGGGAGGCTGAGGCTGGAGAATTTCAAGTTCAAGCCTTGCCTGGGCAACTTAATGATTATTGAGACCCTGTTTCAAAAAGCAGGGGGGCTGGGGATGTAGTACAGTGCCCAAAAAAGAGACTTTAGATATATTTTAATTTTTTAAATTTTGTATATTCTTCTTTTGCCATATGTATGTATTAAAATAAACTTTATCATCAGATCTTCCTGGGAAAATACTATTCTCTTCATTGTTATCTGGTAATAGTACTTTTGAAAAACTGAGTTTTTAAATAAAAACAAAATGAAATTATTGCCAGTTTCTTCTCTCTAATAGGTTGTGGCTTCATGGCACAAGGAGAAAATGAGAATCTGTTCCTTTTGCGGGTGGGAATATCTCCACTGCCCAAGGAGGTGAAGGGTGGGAACAGCTAAGGTGACCTCTTGCATGGAGAATGTTCTCTAAAACCTCAGCCCTGTGGCTGCTGACATTCCCAGGAACAAGAAGTCGGAGTGAACATGAGACAATAAGCATCTGCAGCTCTGTGGACACCGATGGCCCACAGACAATCGTGACACATCGGTCTGAAGTCGCTGCTCCTGAGGGAGCCTTAATACACTAAGAGGAGCCAGGCCTGGTGGTGCACACCTGTCATTGCTGCACTCTGGGAGGCTGAGGCAGGAGGATGACAAGTTCAAGCCCAGCCTGGGCAATTTATGAACTTAGCAGGACCCTGTCTCAAAATAAAAAATAAAAAGGGCCGGGGGCGGGGGGGATTCTTAGAGGAGCTGATGTAAAATGCATGCTGGCCATGCACAGACGGATGGACGTGTGGCTCAATAAGAGGATGTGATTTCAAACATAAAAAGAAATGATTGTAAGTATTTCATATGCTAGAAATGAGTCCCTTCTCCCTGTATCAGATAAGGAAGGCTGGTGGGAGGTAGGAGCCAGGATTGACAGCTGAGATCCTCAGGGGCAGCAGCCCGGGCAGCTGCACTTGGCTTCCACTCCAGGCATCAGGGGGCACCACCCACTTCCTGAGCTCCTGTGCTTCGTGGTCTGCAGCCCTGAGAACGAGCCCCTCACCCTGGTTTTCCTACTCGTCATTTCTGCTCTTAAAGGAAAACTCAGAATCCCTGTAAATTGCACTGAACAGAACAATAGAAAGCGCCCTTCTTGCAAGTCATAAACAGCACAAGAGACAAGGGAACTGAAACACACACTGGATCCAAAGAGGCAGGAAAATATTTAAAATTCACATTAATGGGGTTGTGTTGCGCTCCCATCCCCACAGCTGTCCCTGCACGGAATCTGATGGCCTGGATTCAGCAAGTGAGACTCGGGGCTGCAAACTCATGACGATTTTATTGGTATAACAACTCTGAGCTCGTTATAAAATCACGCAAAGGTGCAGTGTTGTGCAGGAAAGGTTCATGTCCTAAGAAAATAGTTTAATTCTCGGTACTCAGCTGAAGCCACCCTAGCTGCTGTGCATGTGTCTTCTGGCAAGGCAGAGGCTGTCCGGGAATGCGGGGTCCAGGGAGGCCACTTTGGAGGCCATGAAGGCGTGGACGCAGTGCAGCACGGCTGGGAGGTCCTGGAACTCCAGCTCCTGTGGGAGAAGGGGGTGTGCGTTACAGGAGCCAGACAGGTGCAGTGCAGGGACATTCACGCGGGGACTTGGAGAGCGACTCTCCAAGAGAGTAAAGACAACAGGGAGAAAGTGCACAGAGAGTGGAAAACGGGCAGTGTGACCACCCCGTGGCTGTACTGGGGACATCCGGGTGTTTCCAAATGACTCTGACAGTGGAAATGCTTGTTCCTCGAGCCCAGCATAGGTCAGCACACACTTCCTTACTGCACCCTCCCCTGATGACTGCGCTCTGATTTCAGGGTCCACAGCTCCTGCCAGCACCGTGCATGTGGCACTGTGGCTCGGCCGTCACCACAGCACATCTGTGATCTGTGACCAGGCAGAGCTTCCCTGTGTTGGCCCTGGCTGCACAAGCTTCACGCACAAGACCACACTTGGAAGGACAGGACAGCCTGAGCAAGCCCAGGGTGAGACCCACAAAGAGAGCTGGCTGCCCCTGCTCTGGTTTCCATACCAACAGGGAAGGGGGGTTCCCAAGAGATGCTGACGCCCGCACCCCAAGAGAGGAAGGAGGGAAACAAACGAAACCCTGGATGCTCACTTCCCAACTAGAGATGCTAAATCATATTATTCAAGAGCAAAATAACACCGACTGGAGTGATCCTTTCCCCACAAACTTCCCACAGGAAGCCCCCACATGGAACCAACAAAGTGACAAAGAATCTCAAAGCCAAAGCAAAGCTACACAGCTTCTAGCAGTCCAGCCACTGCTGGGGAAAGCAGTCCCTGTGTGCTGGTGGGATTTGAAGCTTCCTGTCCATCCTGCTGCCCATCCTACCCAGCAGAAAAGGGGCTCTGAGCACTTTCTCCTGAAAGTCTCTCTTCTGTGTCAGGATAACAAATCTCCAACGGGACCAAGAGAGATACACTTCCCTTCACAGGGACTGCTGACTGGCTGGCGTCCTATTTACCGACTTTCCGAAAATGCTGCTAATCGGCTGTGATGACGTCAGTGGAAAGGCTGTCAGTTCCTGGAAGACAACCACCCTGGCGAGCTGGTACCATGGCCGAGCTCCTGGGAGTCCGAGGCAGGGCCCTGCCAAGTCCACACAGGCCAAAGGGGGAGGGTGGCCTCACTGCTAGGCAAGACCACCTTCTGACACCGCATCAGCCCTTCTGAGCTGCTTCTCGCTGTAACCCAAGGACGCAAGATCTCAGATGACTTGGCATTGTCCTGGGACACAGGACACAGAGGCCAGCCAAAGTCCCATTGGAGGGGCCAGGGTGACTGCAGAGCTGCGGCAGGCCAGGCACAGATGGGCTGCTGCTGTGGGTAGAGAGCTTGTAGGAAGGGAACCCACGCTGAGAGCACCCAGAAGACAGGGAAGAAGGACGCTGGGGACGTCCGGCCCACTGTGCTTGGAGCTGCCCCTCCTGGTCGTGGAAACAGAAGGCCTCTTTTCTTTCCAACAGTTTAGGTTGCAGCTCTAAAGCTGAAGGAATCATAACCTTGCAGGCTGCACCTCCAGCTCACTGATTTGACCGCTTCTCAGTGATGATGAACGAAATGTCTGCAATCTGCAGAAGTGCCCTCCCCAAAGCCTCCAGTGCCTACGGCCATTCATGAGGATGTACAGGGCTTGGTCAGCATTGTCACCTGCCCTGTTATCAGTGGAGCCCACACCTCCCCACCCCTGTGCCTGATGTTAAAGCAAGCTGGGCCCCAAACCCTGAGACCACACCAAAATCTTCATTCATTGTGACTCTTCCCCAGAGACAGAAAAGCCAAATAACTTTCCAGAAGAAACCCAGGGTTCTTGCAAACTACTGCATGTGTTTCCAGATAGTAATTACTGGCCTTCGCAGAAGTGGCCCTTAGGAAAAAGAAGCCACAACATTGCTACTGTGTTTGCTTTGATAGCTGTGTCTCACATCCAAACTGCTTTACAAGTCCCCAAGACGCATCTAATAACTGCACGACATTCTGAAGCAAGAAGCTAGCGGCCACCAGCATTCACAAACAACTCCAAAGCCCATCAGTCATTTCTGGTGTTGCAAGTTAAGGCACATTGAAAAATCCTGGAAAGTGCTAGCAAAGCAATGTGCACGCACACACACCAAGCCCCATGCAGAATCTCAGGCAATGGCATTGGAATCCAGAAATCTGACGGAACAGCCAGCCAGCTCCATCTCTATCCAGACGTGGAAGAAGCAGGCAGCTGTGCATTATGTCTTCAGTTCTGTAATGAGCAGGAAAGAGTGTCCCCTAAGGACAGCTTTGACTTAAGAAAAGGGAAAAAACATGATATTTGCCTCCTTTCATTGTGTGAGTAGAAGGCCAGGGGATGAGGCAGGCATCCTTTTCTCTGATGCCTGGGCCTCTGGAAGCCAGCAGGTGCGAGCCAAGTCCTTCAGAAGCCCTCCACCCATGGGGGCTGGTGGAAAGAACACATGCCAAGTGGAGCCTGAAGGGCAGGGTGAGTGGGTATCCGGGTCTGGGCCCCACACAAGATCCTGGGCCCTGAAGATGGAGAGGGAGGGGTGATTTCCATGGGAACAGCAGGGGCAGAGCCAAGTGACAAAGCCCCTGGAAGCAGGAACAGCCAAGAACATGACACAGCCCCTCCCCTGGCATGTCCAAGAGGAACCAGCCCCCCACACCCCAACAGCAGCCCAGGAGCTTGGAGAAGTGTAAGGTGACCAACATGTGCCATCAGCCACCAGCTTTGGTGATCTATCACCACAGTGACAAAACCAGCACAGCTGACATTGCCTCCTAATCTGAGGTTCCTGCTCCCTATGTATGGACAGGTGGGATGGGGGTGCTTCTGTGCCCACGGTGAGAAGGAATGAAGACAATGACCATTCCAAGTGGGAGGGATGGAGTCTTTGCTGATAGGTCTCCCACCACCTCAGCAGCTATTATGTATAGTAGCTGCCCTCTTCCTATCGTGCCTTGCCCCTTCCCCTGTGTGACGTCATGCCAAGATGATTGCTCCCACCAAAGAACAAACTCATCTTCCCAGCATGCCCGTTCCCGCCTAGAGAGTAACCTAATACTCGCTCACCTCCTACCACCTAGTGACATCACCAGCTCCTCCATTCCCTAGTCACTACCTCAGTCAACCCCGCCTCAGCCCCTACAAACCCCACCCCAGTCTCTATAAAAGACTCTCCCTGCCCCGGCCATATTGCTTTTGTCTCTCCTTTGTTCGGAGACAGCCTGGCAGATCTATTCCCCTAATAAAGGCTTGTTGTGGCCTGGTCTGGTCTTGGTCTTCAGCCCTTTTACCTGACATTTGCTATGGTAAGGTTGCCACATGGAAGAAAGGTATGGAAAGGCAGAGTGCTTCTCAGTGTACGGGAACAAGGAAGCCTGCGAAGAAATAAAAGAGACAAGCTTCCGGTGGCATGGACAGTGGCTTTGCTTGTTTAAAAAACTGCTTCGAAACAAATACATCTTTGACCCTGTTGCTCCTTTCATACGTCCTGCTCCACTCCAGGAACCTGGACAAGGTCCTGCTCTGGTCCTCGCGGCAGAGGGTCCTCCGAGTTCACTGTGGAGGGAGAAATGCGAACTGTGTGCCCACAGACACATGCTCAGGAACATCAGAAACTTAACGTGCAATGAACAGCACGCACTGGCTAAAGCAGGTCATTGTAAGGGTGGTAGGAATATTTTCCTCCTCAGGATGTAATAAAACTTCTGTGATGTATTTGGCGGCACTTTCTGTGCTAATCTGCTCACTTTTCATTAATTTATTCATTTAAAACACATTTATTAAGGGCACATGTTTACTGGACTTCCTGCTGAAGATAAAAACTGGGCATAGCTGCCTGTTGAAGGCTCCATCTCAGGAAAAAATGAAATCATAAAAACCTTACGATGCAAGCCCCAGACCCAAAGCAGTGGAGATGAGCATGGGTTTGAAGAGGAGCCCACTTCCCCCTGCCACACCCTCCAACCCCAGTCCTCATGATCAAAGTCACAAAGGGAGCACAACCAGTGAAACAGAGCTGTAGGAAATCGAATCCTTCACCACACAGCTTAGGGCCTCTACACTCCTTTATTTTAGGAGAAACAGGTGAAAACAAACAAGCAAACAAACCAAACCAAGTACTGTAAGAAATACTACAGTCTCCAATGTCCAGCCATTGGAACCTTTGAAACCAGCCCAAGTTCTAAACTGAGTGTCTGTGTGTGAATCTAACCGCCCCCGTGGGGTAGGATCGGCACTCCACTCCTGCTCCCAAAGCCTCAGGCTCAGCCCCCTCCCATTTGGACATTTTCCTCAGGGCTTTTTACCCAGGCTGTGTCCCAGCTCAGTATCAGAGAGATTTCAACAAAACAGAAAAAGAAACACAGTGTCTTGGTTACCACTCATTTAACTAGAAAATTCAATTAACAGAGATATCATTTTCTCTGAAACTCCTGGTGAACAAAGCAACAAAATCTTCCTGTTTACAAAGACAGCACAGGGCTCACATCCGACCTTTGCAGGCTTTCATTCCTAATTTAGAATTCAGCCCCAGGCTCTTTGTCTAAATCCAGCAGTGACTTCAAGAATTCTCATGGGTGTAACTCGCGGAGAGCGTGAGCTGTGACAAAGGCAGAAGCTCAGCTGGTCCTTCTGGCCCCTCTCCTCTCTGGGGCAGGACGGAAAGTCCTCCCGTCCTCCTGGGGTCTTCCCTGTCTCAGAGTGCTGAGGCCTTAGGGCTCCTCGCTGTGCAGAGCCCTCCAGGGCCCGTAGGCAAGCCTGGTCCTTCCTCTACCTGCAGCCAGGTGAGCTCTCTGTTTGTCTCTAGCCAGGGCCCCGGCTCACGCCCTGTGGTGGCACAGAGAGAACACGGGTGGTCTGAGGTCTGGTGAGGCGGATGAGGTGGGCACACATCCGGGACTTAGGTTTGCTGGGATATATCCACCTGTTTCGCTTCCCGTCTATGTGAAGCTCATTCGTTGCATTTGAAATTTTGCATTTTTTCCCTAAAATGTCCCGATACGTTGTTTCACTTTTAGCCCTGTACCCATGGCTGTGGGATCCCTAACTTCCTTCCTTCACCAACTGAATTGCAAACTCACCCAGCAGCAGAGGGAAGTTAATCCTGTTTCAAAGGATGTGCTGCAAATAAATGGGACTCACGTCAACTCTGTCCTGTTTTAGGGTACCCGACATTGCCACCCCTTCAGCGCACACGGGCAACCAAACTTGGCTGACCACTGAGAGCAGGAAACACCTCTGAACCGAGTGAGCGTGGCCTGTGAAGGACGCTTCAGATGCCAGGCAAGCCGGGTGACCTTTCTAGAGCTGTGCACTGAAGACAACAGTGCTCTGTGGGAGCTACCGGGGGCCCTGTGACGTCCAGTGATGTCCACACCCTCACCAGAGTGAGGTGAAGGGTGACAGGTGTGACACAGGAAAGGTGACACCACAGTGCCCTGCCTTGCCACAGTCCTCAACTGACTGCTCAAACCAACCCCAGGAGGAAGTTCTAAGCTGCCTCTCGGCGGTGAGGTCAGTGCTGGTGAAACCCCAAATACGAATGGCTGCAAGCCTCTCCCTCGGTCCCCTGCCTGCCCAGGGTTCCACTCTCTGCGCCTCATCCCTGTCCCCGGTATCTGCTGGTAGTGAGATGACATCACCATTCAGTGAACGGAAAGTCACATCTAAGTCCTCTGGATGGAAGGAGAGGTCTGTTCCCGATGCCACAGACAAGGAGGACTCATGCTTCCGGACAAGCACATTCACACCCTCGTGGATATTTGCACATTTACTGTTCACATGTGTCAATGCACAGGGTAAACAGTTCCCTACCTTTGTCTCAATTTGCTTGGTGTCTGGGTTCTGAAATAGCAGCTTCACTCGAGTGTTCCCGTCATCTGAAGACCCTTTCAGCTGGGAGAACTTAAATCTCCATAGCACATTCTGTAAAGGAATGGAATTAGTTATTCCCGAGGGAGAGCTCATTATTCAGTAAACATCTGTGAATGGTTAAGAAGCCGATAGATAAATGCCATCCTCTGTAGCCATCTGGTCTGCCCCTGAATTCGAAGGCGTCCAGGATCCGTCTGCTGCCACTGCTGTCTGCACCATCTGCTCCTCAGTCCCCACACCAGCCCCAGGTCTCAAGGACGCATTACCGTCTGTAGTCCTCATTCCTCTACCCACCCCTTCCTGAAAGCATCCTAAGACTCTCATCCTTTTCTCGAAACACCCACTGTCAGGCCTGGGCCTGGTAGAGCTGTGGGAGACAGGTGGGAGACAAAAGGAGGACTTGGTTCTGACCAACCCCACCTGGGCCGTGGCTCCCAGCCATCCTGCCAGCTCAGGCTTTGAGAAGCAGCACGAGACACATGGTTCGCACTGCCTCTGAAACCACTGCAAAAGTTACATGGTGGCTGAGATGTTTTACAGGTGAAATGCACTCTCTAAATTTCTACTCTCATCAAAAGAGGCTGTGGCAAATAACCACTTAGTGGTGTCTTCTCTAAAAGATAGCCTTTATCCATATTTTACTGTAAAAAATCTTTTCTCAGGAAAATCCTGATAGGAAAAGGCAATTATTTTTAGCAAGGAATAGGCTGAATTTCTAGGAAAAGCATTTTTTAGGAAATAATGAATGTATTTTCCTCAAAGTGTCACAAATGACAGGAGGGTGGACAAAGGGAGATGGTTCGTAGACCCTGAATCACAGGACCACTGACCCTTTGTACTACTGTCAGAAGAAAGAAGGCTCTACACCCAGAGCCTCCGCTGTGGTGCACACAGGTCCCGTCCCAAGGCCTTGGAGCAGTCTGAAGGCTGAGAAAGGCTGGAACTGGGCCTCTGACCCAGTTAACTCCCCACTGTGTTCAGGGCTGTCTGCTTTCTGGCTTCCCGGGGGGAACCCATGGTCACCAGGATGTCAGGGACAGAAGTGGGAGAAGTCCTGGGTGTGCTGGTTTCCCACACTCCTCGCAAAACACCAACACCCAAAGCACTCTGGGAACAATAGCAACCGTACAGGGCTCAAACTAGATTATGGAGGAAAAGTCTTGAGAGTGGTCTTCTCCTACCAGGATGAAATCCCGGGAATAACATAACTCAGCATCTTTAAGCAACTGTTACAAATATGTTCTACAAAAAAGGGCAAAGATACCTGTGAGAGACTCGTCTATTTGCATATCAGTTTCCCAAGGTGTTCCAGAATGAGAGTTTTAGGTGACTCCTCAGTGTCGACTGCTTTGAGAAAAACTCTTTCTTCTGAGGACCCTCACCCAGTTCCATTGCATAATAAAGTGCTAATTGTATTCCACACCCCTGGTCCACGATGAAAGACAGAACTTCCACCAGCTCCTCCTGATCTGGGTGCACTACGAAGCGGTCCAGGTGCAGAGGGCAGCCTTGGTGTGGGTGACAGGCTCCTGCCTTCCGCCCCTTCCTGAGCCGCGTGCCCTGGGAGGAAAGCACTCTCAGCCACTTGTCTGCCTATGCCAGGAACGGTCTGTTTCCACTCTCCCCAAAGCTTCCTTCCATGTGATGATTAGAAAGGGATTTTCTTAGAAAAAGAAAAATTTTTCCTTTTTCCGTCATTTCCACCGTGGGTGTAATTTCTGCACGTTTTGCCTAGAAAAGGTCTGGTTAGCAGTTTAATTTCAAGACCTGAACCCTTCTTAAAAGAGGACTGGGTCTCCGGAGACATGGGTGGGTGTGTGCACATCCCATCGGATGAGGAAAGGCTGGAGGGGTCCTGAATTTAGTTCTCAATCTCAGAAGACAGGAAAACATTTCTGAGGTTTGGAGAATTAAAGGACAGGCTTGTAGATACACATGGATTATGTGAAGCATGCTAATGTTTACACTGTGATTACAGGTGTTGTTAAAGATGACCGTCAGTGCTCACTTCTCTTGTAACAAAGGTGCATTTTTAAAGTACTGATGAGGGCCAGGGATTTAGCTCAGCGGTTTCACCGCCTGCTGCACAAGCGCAAGGACCCAAGTTTGATCCCTGGTACCAAAAATAAATAAATAAAATAAAATAAAGTAAAGTACTGACGACAGGAAGTGAGGTTTGAATTGGTGCTTGGGAGCAGGAGCTCCTGATTCAAGCAGCTTTCCCTTCCCAGTGTTTCCTGGGGAGTATGCAAAACCCTTCCATTCCATTCCGACCACTTAAGCAAACCAAGTCTTCCTTTCCTACAAGAAAGTCAATTCCTGGGGCCAGGGATTTTAGCTCAGTGGTTCTGCCGCCTGCCTCACAAGCACAAGATCCTGAGTTCAATCCCTGGTACCAAAAGAAAAAAAAAAAGAAAGAAAGTCAATTCCTTTTCCTTTTTCCTCCCAAACTGGTCTTTCTGTTTCACCCCATAAGCCTTGACTCAGCGGTGAGATTATGGGGTCCTAGCTGAGTGAGGGACCAGGCTCCGGGAGTGTTGAGCCAGCTCCAAGGGCTGTGATGGTCCAACCACCCACCCTGGCTCTGGAGTTGCGATCTTTTTTTTTTTTGGTACCAGGGATCGAACTTAGGGCCTTGCACTTGGGAGGCAATCGCCGGAACCACTGAGCTAAATCCCCAGCCCATGGAGTCGCAATCTTGCTGCCATTGGTGGGGAGCATTCATCCAGAGAGGAAGAAAATCTGGAATAGAAGGCAACATTGAGAAGTGAGTCTCTTTTTTCAGAATGTCCCCAAGCAGTCAGAAAATATGGCAAATCTTTCTTTGCTTCAGGGTCTGCATGAGCTGTGCTTCGCCCTGGGGAATCGGGCTCTTCTGTCTTTCCATCTCTTCTTCATTGTCGTCACATGGTGGCCGAAGTCCACGCACCAGCCTTCCCGCCTTCCTTCGCCACTCCCTCTCTGCTCCTGGCTTCTCTCTTGCTTTGGTTTAATTATGACAGAAACAGGACATCTGGTAGCACCAAACAGAGAGAGCAAGAGAAGCTGCAAAGCTACTGTCCCAACGCCCAGCTGGATGAGGAGGGGACAGTCCTCCTCGGGGCAGCAATGCCCCTCATTTCCAGCAGCTGGAACCTAGTTCTAGTTCATTCCTGTTTAGTGATGTTAAGATATTTCCAATCTAGGGATTAGTGAATGTCTTCTCATTTGTTGTGTGGGTGCAGGAAACATTTCCATGGCGAGACATGATTCTTTTCCTGCTTAATTTCTCTCTGTTGGTGTCGAACATAGACAATGGATGGTGAATGAACTGGTGCTTGGAAATAATTGATCGTCTTTCTCTGGCAGGCTTAGAGATGGAGAATTTTGAGATTGGAACCTATGTGTGTATCTGAGGTTAGATCTACGTAGACACCCAGCATGAAAATCTGGGTAACAGTCAAGATCAGATGACTTGGGTCATCTGGATTATGTATGTGTTTCCATGGTGCTGGGGCTCAAACCCAGAGCCTTCCCATGTGCTAAACAAGCACTGTGCCTCACAGCTGCACCCCAGCTACAAGTTGTTTTTTACAGGCTATCTTAGTTACTTTCCTCGTTGCTGAGACAAAATACCCAACAGCCAAAGTTAAAGGGGAAAGATTTATTTAGCTCACAGTTTGTGGAGGTTTCAGTCTACAGTCGGCTGGCTGCAAGGCAGGGTGGCTTGGCAGGGGCGTGTCACAGAGGAGAAACAGCTGGCAGTCCCCACAAGGTAGCAAAAGCAACACGGGGCCTTAACAGTGTCTTTCTGCCCCTTCATCTTATCCAGGCTAGTTAGGGTGGGCAGCACCCAAACCCTTAATTCTAGTATGGCACCAGGAATAAATCCCAGCATCACACACCCTAGATCCAGTCACCTCTGAAAAAGCCCTATAACCGAATGAGGCTTGGGGTGGGGGGCATCTAGATGAGCCGCAACATGGGCTAATGAGTAGTGCTGCCAGGCCTGAGTTAGCTGTGGCTCAGAAATAGCACACAAATGGCCTGATTTCACAGTGCAATGTACCAGTGAGGTGATGATTATCTGGTGCATGTGAGCGCAGTAAATCCCATGTTAGTACTGTAAATACTGTGTGTATCCCTAATGGGAAACACCTAACAATTTCCCTGGAAGTAAAATAATAATGGCCTTTGGGAATATTCTAGTCCCAGAAATCTGGAGAGGAAGCAACTTCCTGATCTAGCTCAGGGTTTCTCAGCCTCTGGGATAGTCACAGGTTGGGTCCAATGATCTCTGGGGTGGGGGCTTCCTGTGCACTTTGGCGTGCTGAGCAGCACCTCTGGGCTCCCCCGCCAGAAGCCCTGACACATGAGAAATGCCCCACAAGTCAGGGTACAAAGGACTCCAAATACCACCCAACACTCCCCAGGGGTCGCCCTCGAGCTGACAGGAGCCTTTGCTCTGTCCATAGAGAAGACAGAAGCGGGGGCCAAGGTCTCATGAGGAAGGGTCAGCGTCAGTGCTGGCTGCACCCAGGATCACAGCGAAGGCCGAGGCTGTGCTTACACCCAGGCTGTGAGGACAGAGGACGCCGGCAGCGGAAATCCCACACATGCTGCACACTCGTAAGCAAGCTGGTATTCAGTGACTGTTACGGAAGGGCACTATTTTGGTGGGGTCCTTTCTTTTCCTTTCTTCTCCTCTCCTCTCATTTCCTTCTTTCTTTCTTTTTTGACAGGATCTCACTATGCAGCCCAGGCTGGCTTTGAACTTGGATCTTCCTGCCTCAGCCTCCCAATTACTGGATTACAGGCCTGCACCAATAAGCCTGGCTGAGATTACTAACTGGGGGGAAGTTCCACCCTGAGGCCCTAAATACCAAGCCAAACTGGAGTCACTCATGCCAGGTACCATGAGATCAAACTGAATCTTCATATGAAGTGGGAAAAATCCCCAAACAGAACAGACTTCTGTAAAAACCAGAGATTCACAGCAGCCAATCAGAAGAGGCGCAGGCAGCCCTCGGCCTGGCAATAAGAGCGCTTTTACCCCTGCCAGGAATGCAGCCGGTGTGGACCAGCCTGTGCTTGGCACCATGCCGATTCCTTGTCCTGCAGAAGGCACCTACAGGAGCCCCTGCTCTGCAGCGCTTGAGATGCGCCTGTCTTCTGTGAGCGAGCACTGCCCAGCACAGGCCTTGCCTGAAAGGCCGGTTAGGTCTTCAAGCCCAACAGGTTGAGGTTTTGTTTGCTGACCGCAGCATTCCTCACAGGACTTTCCCACTGCGCTCATTCCTGGTCGGCAGGAAGTAGGGGTTTGGCGGGACTCCAGCACAGGACGTGGGCCTGATCTTGCAGCATCTCCCTGACTCGTCTGCCATACGGTGGGCGCAGGCGATGCAGCTATTCCCTGCCTCGAAGAGGCATCTTCAGACCGAGGAAAGCTGGGCTCTGGGGCAGCGTCCAGGTGCCAGGACCGGTGCTGGCCACACCCCACCGCCTGTGGGTCTGGTTTACAGTACCAGAGATGCTCAGATTTGAAGCCAGCATTGGTCTTTGTTTCCTTTCAATGAGTTTATTTTAATGTCCTGGGTCTTTCCCTTGATGGGCTCAAGAAAACACCCCTGCACCTTCTGCTCCCCCAACTCCACCCTGTGGTCACTGAACACCATCCAGGTGGCCTCTCCAGCGCAGGGCTCAGGGGAACCCCAGGGCCTGCACGTGAGGAGGACAGAGTCTGTGCAGGCTGCACCCTGCAGGAGCCTCAGGGCACTGTCCAGCATTAACGCTCCCGGCAGCTGTGAAGCTCGTCCCCAGTGTCAGCGCGAACGCACCCCTCAGTCTTACCTTCGTCTTGGTGTCGAAGCAGGTGAATCCCAGAGCGAAGTCCACAGTGAAACACAGCACCTCTCCTTGCCAGCTGCACATGTATGTTTTTGACTGGAAAAATATTAATTTTGAAAGGACATTAATAGTTTTGTTCCATGAGGTGGTTGCCACGGGAACCCCCTTAGTCAGAAGAGTTTTTCAAGCCTAATGTGCAACCTGGATGACCCCTGGCCCCTGGGGCCTGTAGAGTCTCCGACCGGGGTGGGCCAGTCCTTTTTCCCTTCTTGCTCTGTGACTAGGCAGGCGCTTCAACTCTGGAAAAGTTGTCTGCATAGACATCACTGCACTGACGACACTCGCCCTGCCAGGGACGCCCGCATCACTCCTGCACCCTGGGTGGATCCCAGGGCCACGGAGGTTCAGGGAACCTGGTTATACTGATGATTTGAACTTAAAATAAACCTGCTGCCAAACCGTACCTGAAAACAACCAGGTCAACTAGGGTTTCATGATGCTTCACGCTCATGATGAAAGTAATCGAAGGCTTAGTTGTGTAATTAAACAGGAGAGTCTGGTAGGGACCCAATAATTGTCTTTTAATGACTCCCATAAATCTAATCTAAGGACTATTTAATATTTCATTGACTTTCTCTTAGGCCCTCCTGATTCATTATTTTTTTCAGGAGAAGCAATAAAATACCTTTGTGGTGTTGCATATGGTATTATATATCATCTCAGGAACATTCGTGGATTTTTTTTAAAAAAAAACTCCAGACTAGTTATTTCTTAAAAATTTATCTTCAAAATTAATTTTTAGTGTTTAAGGAAATTACGTTTTATACAGTTCAATGAAAAGTGCTTTTGAAACACCAGTTGTTTAAATTTCCAAATATCATTCGAAGAGATGAAATTAGCAGTCACGTTAGACATGAGGAAGAGGAGGGTCCAGCGGTTTATTTATGGCTGTTGGATGTTGTTTTAAATAATACTGCTTACAATCACGTTGCCGGGGTCCGGACAGGCAGGTGAGCCTCCTGCGGTGCAGAAGAGTGTCCCAATGTGGATGCAGGGCAGGGGGCAGGCCCAGAGAGTAGCCACCGCCCAGCCACATGGACCAAGAGTCACTGTCACCGACCTGTGAGGCTGTGCGTCTTCTAGACTTTAAATTCAGTCTCGAGTTGGAATAAAATGAAGGACAGCATAGAGTGGGAAAAACTAATGGAACAAGCAAAAATAGAGATGGCAGGTAGAGAAAAGAAATCCTGTTTCGCAAATCTACCAAGACGGCTATGGCTTATTTTGTCTGAACACGCCAGGCCTGTGCCAGGGACCTGCACGCCTCTCCTTTGTCACAGGGAAGGCCACATATTTTAGCAGAAAGACTATGACTTGCAGAACAGAAATTCTTAGGATGGATGACACCATGGTGGCTTAACTGCTCAGAGACCATGGAGAAGTCACATGGCCCTTCCGAGCTTGAGCTGTCGCATTAATGAAAGGAAATCAGCACTCGAGTCTTAGATCTAGTTCACAGTGAGTAATGCGTGCAAGCGCATGAAGTCTGGAGTACAGATCCACAGGGATGCAGTTCTCACAGCCACCCTATGGTGTGCGTGTCAGAGTCCTCCAGCTGCAGAAGCTGAACGGGGGTCTGCAGCGCTATTTCGCAAGGCTCAGCAGGAGAAAGGCAAAGGCCCGGCCATAAGCCCACCTGGCCAGTCCGAGCGGCACCATCCTCCCTGGGTCTCGGGCCCTGGGGCTGGGCCTCATCTCAGAAGGGAGAGTGGGGGTCTGGGCAGCCGGCTCTCCTGGGTTTCAGCCATGCTCACCGCTACTCACCCTCCCATGAGACACTTGAAAGCCAAATCCTGAGTCCCGGAAGTGTTTTCCACAGAGTCCACCTGGGCACCTCGATTTCTTCTCTGTCCTCATCGAATGTCGGATTTTCTGCTCCTCCTCAAACAATCACCGCCTTGCTCCTCAGCCATCCCCCCTGAGGCCTCCTCTGGCCTGCCCCCAGGCATGGGGACTTCTGGGGGACCAACATCTTCCTCCAGTGTGCACCCCTCTTTCTGGGACAAGGACAGCTCTGCACACAAGGAAGTTCCTGGCTGTTGTCTTTGGGGACAGAAATTCCACTCTGTCAGAAGGGTGAGTGAGCTCTCGGATGACCCTCAAGACACCCAGGGACTGGGAAAGAGCCATCCAGGTCATCCACACTGCTGTGTCTCCCTCCAATGTCTCCTCCTCTCTGTCACTGTCCTTCACTGAGACTGACTGTCACTGGACCGTGTGCTCTCAGAGCCCGGGACGCTGCTGAACTGTAGCCACTGGACAGGCACGGAGCAAGCTCTTCGCGTCTCCAGTTTGCAGTGGAAACAAAGTGGTGGCCATAGTCTTCAGAAAGACAGTGACACAGGAAGTCCTGCACTGCGGCAAGCAGCCCTCCAAGGAAGCGGACATTTCCTGTGCTTGGTTTCTCCACTGCTAAAAGCCACCACACACCTGGGGAGGGGAGGCTGGGCCAGGGTGTCAGGAGCCAGCCCCAGCCCTGGGGTGACGTGGGCTCCAGCAGAGGGGGCAGTGGCTGGGGCAGCAGGCAGAGCCGGCCTTTGTCCCAGGACGTGAGGGGGTGGTGTTGTCGCATGGCCTGGCCTAGGACAGCATTTGTGTGGCAGGCACAGCACAGCCCATCCAGAGCCTGTGTGAACCTTGGCACCTGGGACGTGCCTGACACACCTTCGCCTGCTGAGTTCAGTGTGCAGCGCTGGTGGAGCCAGGTCAGTGATGAACCAGGCCTCCCGTGACACGCTTCCTCATTTACTCCCTGCCACTCCCGTCTCTAGCGGTGTATATCCCCGGAGAGGATCCCACTGTACCACAGCCAACGAGGACACAGCACCCTGTATTCAGCTGATACACATTTACATTTGTGGGGGATTATTTGCTGCCATGGGGAAGGGAGAAGCAATTCAGACACACAGGCCATTCAGCATCCTCCTTTGCACCATTACAGTTGAGAAGACCGCCCATCAAGGGCCTTACAACTTGAAATCCCGAGCTCCTGCAGGACAGGTGCTCCTCGCACGTGACGGTTCTGCCTCCATAAGCAGGCCTGGAAGAAGTTGGCCCTCCCAGAGCCGCAGCCCTTTCCTTGCCTTAGGGCTAATCACAGATGTAAAGGCCTATGTCACCTTCTACCACTCGGGAGCTCCTTTTTCCTACGTGCACCTGCACCGTGTGCACGGTGACATGAAGCCCACCCAGGGTCCGTTCACTCTGACATAACTGCTGCCCACATCCTGATAACTATGCCTGAGTACTGCAGGTGAGCTCACCCCGGTCCTCTGCACCTCCAAGAATGTTGCTTTCTGGAACGCCTTCTCCCACACGGCCAGCTCTGTGCCCAGCTCCACAGTGAAGACGTGGCTCCTCCCCTGGCCAGCCAGGAGGCTGAAGCAGTATGGCCTCTGGTTCTCCAAGTCCAAGTCCTGCAGCCTGAGACAGAGGTTGGCTGGCAGCCAATAGCCATCCATCACCCAGAGCTGAAAAACAGGCAGATTGGAACTGGGTCAGAGCCGGAGGGCTGAGGCCAGACTGGAGAGCAGCGGTCACGGGGGCAGGGCTGTTGGGACGGGGTGGGTGCCCCCTTCACCTGGTGGAGGTCACCTCTGGTCACACCCCACAGGCAGGTCCCCCAGCACCATCTGTGTCAACTCCTGTAGAAACAGCCCGTAAATACACCCTAAATAAACAATCTCTGACCTCTGATTATCTGTCCCTCCCTTTCCGGTAAAATACCAGTATCCACACCTTGCCTTTCTACATTCCTTTTAAAGATAAAAGTCTCGCTATTTCCATTCTCAGGGTTAGCATAAAACCACCAGCCTGGCTGTACTGGTGCCCGCCTGTAATCCCAGAACTTTGGGAGGGTGAGGCAGGATTGGACGCTCGGCCTGGGCAATTTAGCAACACCCTGTCTCAGAATAAAAAAGGTCTGGGGATGGAGCTCAGAGCAGAGGCCCTGGCTTCAGTCCCAGGACAGACTTCTCACCACCTGTGTCTCTAGGAGTGAAGGGGCTCGGTCTCCCTGCGAAGCAGGATTCTTGGTTGTGCAGGATCCAGCTATGTGAACCTGATGATCCTGACCAAATACCATAAGACACTTTTGCAAGCAAAGTCACAGGAGAGAAGATACAAACCAGCCGCAGCGCTGGGTCCGTACAGCGCCCCTGCTCGCCTGCGGCCCCTCAGCAGCACCCCGGTTCTGTCCTCCCGGACCTACTGGTCTCAAGTCAGTGTCCCCGCTGTCACTGCTGCAGCCCAGAGTCTCGGGAGCCTGAGACACGCAGAAGCCACACCTGGCTGATGGCTTTCCCTGCCTCTCATCTCTCTGTGTCACCATCTCGCTATCTCTGCCGTCTGTCCTTCTGTGTCTCTCCAGCTCCACCTACTCGGGTCTCGGGCTCACACGCTCCTACCCCATTCATGGTTAATCGGTCTGAAAGTGGCTCCCCCACAGCTCAGCGAGGCCCAGTGGCACAGAAGGACACCACCTGCTCAGGACAAGGTGGTGCTCCGTGTTGCGACCCCTGGACCTTCGGATCCACGGGGTGGGGCCTGACTTTGTGGGTGCCTGGCTGCAGACTGCAATCCCACCTCCTGCTGGAAGGCAGCCCCTCTTTTCGATGGGCTGAGGCCGGGGAGCAGACACAGATGCCTGTGACCTCCCCACCTGCGGATCGCCTCACCCTGCGGCCCCCAGGACGGGCTCAGACCCTCCGCATCCTAATCCTCCACCAGGGCTTCTCAGCCTGTTTGACTCTGGCGCAATTTCACTCTGGCCGTGACTTTCGGAGAATTACTCGGGATCCTCTCTTGTTGGGATTTTCCAAGCAGCTGCTCTAGGCAGCAGGAGAGCTTGTGAAACGCAATGCAGGTCCCACAGAACGGAAGCAGGTTGAGATGTGCTTTGAATCCAAGGGAACCTGGGCCTGGGACTCAGGGATTTGCTGCTCAGGAGCGAAAATTCCCTCAGCCACATGAGGCAGCCTGGGAAGGATCGGGAAACACAGCCGCCCTCACCCTGAGCCAACTGGGCAAGTCAGTTCTCCCGGAAACGGGGACTTGGGTCTTCTCGAGTTGAGGCCAAGGCCCTGCTGCCCCGGGGTGCCCCTCGCTGTGGAATGGCCCTTTTCCTTCTGTGGAAGCGGAGGCTACTTGCAGGTTAGCTGAGGACTCAATCGAGGCCGATGAGTGCAGTTTCCTCACCTGTTCCGAGGTGAGCATGAACCGGGACCCGGGTCAGCCCCGGCCTAGGTACTCCAGGCCCACAGAGGGCTAAGAGACCCTGCATTTCTGCTGCGCTGGTCTTGAGCTCCCAGGACCTGTAGGTGAGGAGGGATGGCCCAGCAGTCCAGGCTACATTTAGAGAGCACTGTGTTTCCGTGAGGGCTTGCAGTCATTTCCCGATTCAATGGGCAGAACTCATACCAGCAGGTCCTAAAATATAGCCCATACATGAGGGGTTTTTTTGGTACTGGGGATCGAACTCTGGTCCTTTCACTTGTGAGGCAGGCAGCGGAACCACTGAGCTAAGTCCCCAGCCCTTACGTGAGGTTTTTTACTATCCCTCTTTTTTTTAGTACTGAGGATTAAATCCAGGGATTTTGCACTCAGCTACTGCCCTGCCTTTTTTTTCAATTTTGCAACAAGGTCTCAGCAAGCCACGAAATTGCCTAGGCAGGGCTCAAACTTGTGGTCTTCCTGCCTCAGCCTCCTAGAGTTCCGTGATCATAGGCGTGAGCCAGCCTGCCTGGCATTGGCATCCCATTTTATAGAGGGGCAAACTGAGTTCTAAAGACACCAAGTCGGCTTCTGAGTGCAGAGCAGGGTTTGTGGCAGCGTTGGGAGGACTGTGCTCAGGCCCCGCACTGGGTCCCCTGTTCCTCCTGCTCCAGGTGGTTGGGGGGGCCTGGCCGCACCCCCTCATCCCCCCAGATTGGAGGCAGGAGAGCCAGCACACAGCCTCAGGACCTGCACCGCCCCAGCTCCCCCCTGCACCCCAGCTCCCCCGGGGCCTGACTGGAGCAGTGTGAGGGAGCCTGGCTTCCTTCCCCACACACTTGCTGTTCAGGTCCAGCGTCTGAATTCTCTGCGCGGTTTTGTATTGTGAATCATTATCTCCCAAGCCAGAGGCTTGCCAGGATTCCACAGGCACCTCTGCCGGTGCGGCATGGTGGCCTCTGCTCTCCTACACCCAGCAGCCCATCCACACAGGGCCGAGGCACCAGACAGGGAAGCTACACGTCCCTTCCTGGGGAAGCCGGGCTGCCACACTGCCGTCCTTGATGACAGGCCTCCCAGAGACTGAGGAGACCGCTTCCAGGCAGTGGATTCACTAGCTCAAAAGCATTCGGCTAAATCAGACCATGCTGGAAGCCCAGTGTGACCACTGGGGAGGAAACTTTGCCCTCTAATAGCAGTAGAATACTTTGTTAGTTATGCTGGTCAGTCCAGTCCAGGCTTAAATGAAAGCTTTTAGCACTCAGAGTTGTACTTGACTGTTTAAAACATCCTCAACAAAAATAGCAGCCAAAAAAAAAGACCAATGACAACAACTAAAGTTCCTGGAATAGGTCACTCTGTTTGGAAATATTAAAGCACATCTTTCCCCCAAAACACACACCTGCATATACCAGCCACTCATCTCTCCACCCCTCCATTCCCCATCCCTCCAACCATCCATCCATTCTTCTGTCCATCCACCCATCCCTCCCTCCACCTATGTCACCAGCCCCAGCACAGCGACCATCCTGGAAAGGACAGAAGGATGGATTTAGAAGGGGTTCATGTTCCTTTGCTATTTCATCAGTCCATGGTGATAAGGTCACCCCCCACTACATAAACTGGAGTCATCTCATTTCAAGGGCAACATCTACAAGCCAGGACACCCACCTTGTGAGCTTTAAATAGCACCTCACAGAGGTTATAGATGCTCTCTGCCCGCACCCAGTCCACCGTGCTCACCTGCAAGAAACACACAGTGGGTTCATGAAGAGACCAGCGACTCGAGATGGAGAAGGCGAACATGCACGACATGGATGGGTTCGGTGCATCTTCCACTGCAGTGAACCCTAAGCCACCACCAGCTCTGGGCTGGGTAGGCTCAGGGGAGGCCAAGGGACCCCTGCGTAGAGGGTGTGACTCAGCCTGCTGGGGTGCAGGGTGACCACAACAGATGCAGCGTGGAGGCAGCTGCTGGCCAGGTAGAGACTGACCCCAGACACACCACTGGGCATCATTCTGGGAATTTACCTTAGATTCTCTTTCCATTAGTTTAAGGTTCAATATGAAATTAAACATGGAGAATTGAAAATGAGTTTGCAAGTGCAAGCAGATGAGTCTGAACTTGCCAGGGTGCGATCACAGAGAGAAAATACTGTGTTTATAGCCCTTTGCTCTTTCAGACTTCCTACTTCTCAGTTCTGTTTTGGAAATGAATAAAAATTCCACCAACTAATTGAACCTGTTTTTGATTGGGCTGACCTATGCAGCTCACAGCTATCTTAGCAATAATGATAACATAATTCAATTTTGAGTGATGCTTTATGATTTGCAATTAATATTCACATATTATTATCTCTAAGTTAAAATAATTCTCGTAGAAAAATCTAAAATATTCCAGTGTACCAAATGGGGATTTTTTACTACGGGCTCTGCCCTTAGTCTTTCAAGCAGTAAAAATAACCAAAAGTTTGCTGTATTGTGTCTTGGAGGCACCAAAACCACTGTGTATTTAATCTGTTGTGAATTCCTAGTGACCATTTAACCAAACAAGATGCAGAGACTCGGCCGGCCTTCCAGGTCACCACCTCAGAATGGCCCTGCTGGAGGAGGCAGAGAGCTAGGCCAGTGTGCACTGTTCAGCACTAACTCCTCCAGAGCCAACCCACTGCCGCTGTGATTTCAACAATAAAAAGCAAGGGAAAGGCACAGCCTAAAGCAAGAAGGAGCAGTTAGAGTACTAAGGTGAAGACACTCCCCAAGGCCTCAGGCCTCAGGCCTCTTAAATAACCCACTTGCTAAGCTCAGAGTTGGTGTCACAGATCCCAAGACCTCTCCTCTCCCAACTTCAGAGATTCCCAGTGGCCCTGTCTTATGACCCCTCTTCCTGAAGAGCTCAAGCGCTGTTCATATTACTGGGAAATCAATTCTCTACATGCACCATGTCAAATATCCCATTATGACAATTCTGCTCATCTCAAAACTATGAAGAATCTCAATCTAAAGAATCTAAAAAATGCCAATGACTAAACACATAACCCAGAGACACCCTCCCTGAAAGGACTGACTTGTTGCTGTAAATATGCATTATACATATTCATAATTTTATGTCTTTTCAAAATGTAATGGTATCAGCATTTCCCATGTCATCATTTCTTTCAGAAATAAAATTCTCATGACTGCTTAGAATTTTAGTGTGCGGATTTATCATTTTTGCCAGCATTGTCTTTGAGATGGACATTCTAGATGGCTCTGAGGTATTAGCCACTTTGTCTGAGCTATGATGGGTATATTTAGAGGACATTATATCCTAATATTCTATTGCTTTGAGTGCATTTTTCCTTGCCAGTTTGCTATCCATATATGACCTTTAGATTCACTGTCTAAGTTACAAGATGAAAGGAGGCTGTGCTTTTTCCAGTTCGCACGATTCAGCCAGTCTCCTCCCTCATTGCTGGGTCCACAGCGCATTCACTGACCACCTCTTTCTGAACATCTGTAGTGGCCAAATACCAGCTTCTCTGTTCACTGTTGGTGTTACTGTTCCTGTCCATCTCCTGGGGGAAAGGCTGACCCTCCCCCACCCCAGCTCCACAGCTGGACTCCTCTCTCCAGGGATGCACATGAATCAGATCACACATCTCATGGTCATAGCCATGGTGATGGATTTGGGGAGAGACTGTGCCCCAAGAGAGATGCAGGTGAATGGCTCCAAAGATGCTCAGAGTTCTGTGGGTCCAGAGCAAACACTGTACCTCAATAGTCCTAAAAGCTATACAGGGCTATGAGGACTTTAGTTACTGTGGTTACTGATGAAGCAGCAGTACTGGTTCCTCATCGCAACAATGTATCACACAGGTCATCGCAACAATGTATCACACAGGTCATCGCAACAATGTATCACATGGACACAAGATGGCTGCAGTGTGTGGCCAGGTCTATCATCCCAGCACCCAGGAGGCACAGGCAGGAGGGTCTCCTGAGTTTGAGACAAGCCGGGGGCTTTTCCCGACAGCACAGCAAGGTGCCAGGGGAACACTACAGGTTGGCCCAGCCCACGACACAGCTACAAAACTGAAATGGCCTTGGTCACCTACTTAGCTCAGCCTGAGGCAGACTTTTACACCCCAGCTCACGACCCAACTTAAATATCTGAGAAAACTGACTATTGGTGTATCAGGAAGGACTCAGCATTCCTCGGAACGTGGAGCGAGGCTGGGTCTCAGGTGACCCCAGAACTACTGCCTGAGGATCTGCTTCTGAACAGCGATCCCAGGAGAGTAGGCTGTGCACTAGCAGAACTGTGAGCAAACAACTTGAGCACAAAGACCCCCACGCACACCACCTTGGAAAAAAACAGGGGGAAAGGCAAGGAGAGGAAGCACAGATGTGACCAGGAAAACCATGTTTGCAAAGCAGGTGCGTATTTAATCACTAGTCCTCTAGGAAGAGCTCCTCAGTTGGCTGAGTACCTTTGGCCAGGGGCTGTGCATGATATGCGCATTACAAGGAGCTAAGGGAGGCATCGACTTCTGTAAATGTAAAATTGCTCCAAAGTAACATTTAAATGTTGCACTTACCAATGAAAAGAAAGTCTGCGGTGTATTACCGGCCTCTGCCTGAAGGTCAAACTCTGAAGGTCGGTATTGCTTTATTGACTGCCAAGGCTGCAATTCGCATCCAAGCTGATGCAATCTGCACCTCGAGCTACCAAGTTTTGTTGCTTGTTCACTGTCCTTGTGGTCAGGCTCACAAAAAGAGCAGTTCCTTTCCACGATAAGCTGTCAGGCAGTGTCCACAATATATCTGCTCAGTTTTGGGAGAATGGTGTGGTTGGGAATTGGAAAATAAAATTATAGACACTAGCATTCAAGCTTACATTTAGATTATGGATCCTGCTAAAGCAGGCTTATTTATTTCAATAAAATTTGGAAGATGGAAAGAAAAAGATATTTTTAAAATTTCATCCTTTGGCTGCTCAGAAATGTCTAAAGAGAAGGGTTCTGGTTTGTTTTGCTTATTTCTGGATTCTTCAACCACATGACTGATGTGCTGAGACTCAGAGTTTTGTGAGGCCCACCTCCAAGCTAGCTGATCATTTCAGTCAGGGAAACCATGACATCTGAACAGATGCTGGAACTGGACGAGAAAAGCAGATTCCTGTAGAGCTTGGGGGAGGACAGGTGGTCGATTCATAAACAGAGCCTTTCCAGCCATGGGACAAGCAGCTGTCTCTGTCCTTGTCCAGCCCCGGCCACCTGCTACGTCTCTGAGGGGAGTAACGGCAGCAGCAAGCCCACCCCAGGGTCCTTACCGGGGGAGAGCAGAAGATGTAGACAGATGAGCCCTTCAGCGCCAGGAACTTGGATCCGAAGGTCTGGGGGGAGTTGGTTCCCTGCAGCCTCTCGTTCACCCACCCCATGTGCACTACCTGCAGGGGGAAACCTCTGAAGATTAAAACCCAGCCTTGATGAGAGGCCTAAGGAGCACACATTACACACAAACAAAACAGATCTCCCTCCACCACTCCAGAACCAGAAAGTGGGAAACCCAGATCCGCGGCCAAGCTTCCAAGAGAAGCTTGACTCAAGAGAAAAGGAAAACATCTGTGGTTAAATATCCAGAGTTCTCTCCTGGGCCAGGCACAAGACAGGAGCTCAGCTGTGGGTTCCACGCACTTTCTAAACACACAGTACTGAATTACCTCGTACTAGGGGGTTAGCATTTCAGAGCCTTCTATGGGGACATGAAACCAACTAATTACATTTCTATTTCTGTAGTAAACATAGAAGTTCACATAGTGTAGAAAAATGACTAAGTTTTTCTTTACACTTTAACTTCCTAACAACTGTGAAAATAACAGAGAAATATTAGATTCTTACAACAGGCACTGAATAGTTTAAATCTCATGACATGAAATACAAACTATAAAAATCAGAATCTGATACAAATACATGACAGAAATAGCAATACAAGAACTCTGTGCCTAAAATGTGAAGACACATACTGTTTTAGTAAGTGGTATGAGGAATGGGATTTTAATTTTCTTATTCCTTCATTTTGATATTTCAAGAAAAAGGCAATTCCTTAACATATCCTTATGCATGTAACATTTAAGAGGACCCAGCTTTCCCAACCTCTTTATTAAATGACACTGACCCATGCACCGTATCACATAGGACCAGTGTGACCCAGACGTCCTTCGGGGCTGTGGTTCTCTTGTCCAAGCAGAGTGCTGGGCAGGAGCAGGAACTCATTAACAATGCCACGACCCCAGGTACAGGAACATGGCTCCATAGGGGCCTGATCCACCCTGAGGGTTTCCACTCATGTCGAGGAAGGCTGCCTAGAGGTCAGGATGCCAGGTGAATGTCAAAAACAGTCAGAAACTACTCCTCTTGATTCGAAAGAGAAAGGGAGGAGGATGCCCTGAGGGGAGCTGACAGACAGCCCAGCAGTCAGCACTACCACGGCTTTGCATGTTGGATGCAGACGACTGACCCTATGCAGAGTTCTAATTTTGTCAGCCTGCCCTAGATACACAGAGCTTTATGAATCACCCAAACATTTTACTGGCTCCTGAGTGTGTACATTTCCTATGGGGTTTACCTCATGTCCCGTGAGGACTGCAGGGTGAAGTCAATGCGATAAGGTGACAGGTGACGGTGTTGTAAAAGCACAGCAATCACCCTGGGGCAGAGCTCAGTGGTAGAGCACTTGTTTACCCGGGGCCTTGCCCCGGGTTCAGTCCCCAGTACCAAGCAACACAACACAATTTTATTTCATATGTGACTCTGGACACAACTTCACGTGTCCTTTTTTGTCATCAGTGGGAACAGAATGACCTATTTCACAAGACAATTGTGAGAATTTAATATTGTTCCAGTGTCACCAGGAACGAGACAAAGAACAGACAGCATCAATACTCTGCAAAAACCACAAACTATATCTTGCTCCTGAGCATCTTCCAGATTTGAAGCCAAATTCACAGATCGTTTACGAATGAGTATCTTATTGGCTTTCCCCCTTCTCGTCTGGCTGGGTCAGTCCAGGAGGGTTGTAGAGATACATTTTTGTTAGTCAGTCGGTGGTCACACCAGCAGGAACACCACTGTGAATCAGAAGATGACTCAACTTCCAGTGCAAAAAAGCTGCATGTTTCTAGGTAATTTAGTGGATGCTTGATGTTTCTAAAATTAACACGAATTCAGTATGTAACGACTTAGCTCCAACCCACCACTACAAGATGGTGACAATCAGCATGGTTTATTTGATAGGGTTACTTTTTAGCACTGTCAGTCAGGACATCGACGAAGCCAGGACAGTGAAACTAAAGACCCTCAGGAAAGAGTGCAGGCGACCGAAATACTGATTATGCCCACGGCAGGCTGTGAAGAGTTAACCCCACAATTGGCTTGTTTTGAGAAGTGAGTCTGGCTGAAGCCTATGTGCCAAAGTCAGAGTAACTCGCACTCAAATTCCATTCCTACAACTAAAACCTTCTAACTAGAAGGACAATGTTCTAATTACAATCATATATTTTGTCTATTCTGTTCCTAATTCGAGAATTCTTTGTCTTGTCCCTTATGAGCCTTGTTTACATTAATTTCCATAGAAACCACATGTAGTTTGCCTTAAGCCAATTGATTGCCATTAAAAGTCAGTGCCTGGGGCTGGCCAGTGCTTTTATTGGTCACACTGGCATTGGGTGTCCTGGCACCTTGCTTTCTCTCTCTAGTTCTGTCTTTTAGTTTTATTTCTCGGGCCTGTGTTGTATACTGGGCAGAATACTGGAACCTAACTGCAGGGGTCTACAGGGATCTACAGCCAGGACAGAGCAACTAAAGACACTCAGGAAAGAGGACTACAGAGCTGCTGCAGAAAGCGGCAAGGATGATAGGATGAGTGAGCTGGAAATGAGGGGAGGATTTTGAGGTGGGTTCATAGCAATGTGTCTTTTACTCTAATACATTATTTTAAAATTTTAAGCATTCACTTATTTTTTATCACACCACATATGCCTTTTGAATTATCTTTGTTTTGTTTGGGTTTGGCACTTCTGGTGGTTATCAAATGCTTTTACCTTTTCCCACTTTTATTCAAGTGTTATTTCTTTTCTACATGCCAAAATCAATTCATTGGTCAGAGTGAGAGAAAAAAAATCTTTTCTGTTTTTAAAGTGCCCTATATCATAGGGTCCTAAAATGCACACAAAGTGCGCACATTTTGGAAAAATGTGACATCAGCCTCCTGGGACAGCCCCTCCAGATGTGGTCGGGCTGGCTCCTGATCTACCCTTTCCAGTGAAGCTGAGTCCAGCACTTCATTCCCAACACTGGGACTCCAACCCCTGAGAAATTCCAAGTGGGCCAGCAGTTTCAAGTAAAAGAAGAACTCAGACTGCCCAGTACACCCTTCTTATTGTACAAATAAAGAAACCAAAGCTCAGAAGTTAATGTGTTCAAGCTATGCCCCTAGCTAGGAGTTTGGCTGTAGTTAAATGAGATGAGTAAAGCAGCCAGGACTGAAGCTCATAACCGTGTCTGATGCATGGTAGAATTTCTCCGAGATGAAGTGAAGGAGACTCAGGCTGTGCCTGGGGCCTGTAAACAGCCATTCACTGAATATTTGGTCCTGGGAGCTGGGCTCCTCGGTTGGTCTTCAAGCCTGCCCTCTTCCCTGCATTTGATTCAATGATAAAGAGAAGGTGAATTCCAAAGGAAAGCCAGATAGGCTGGATCGCAGACCAGGGGAAACCCAGATCGTGTCCAAGCCCCCTGCACGTCCTCCTGTTGGCAGGGCCTTCACTGTCGCCCCCAGTGCATTAGCACGAATGGTCGGCTCCTGTGTTCACTGCAGTCCCCGTGGGTAGCCAAGCACCATCTTCCCCATCAGGCACTGCTAGCACAGCAGAGGCCCAGAACCCTAGAAACACTTCGAGCCTGGCCCTCTCAGTGAGGGCTGGCTTGCCAAACATGAGGTCTCGAAGGACAATCTCCTCATTTTCACTGTGCTAGCAGAAATCCAGCTTTAAACAGAAAATGGTTCATGAAGACCGAAGCATAGGTTGGCCTGCTCTGCCCCAGAGAGGAGTAAAGCAGGGGTAATGTTCCCCATGTGAGCTGCAGGGAGGGGCACTCAGTGGGAAGATTATGGAGACTTTTGTTACAAAACCACAAAGGACAGCAGGAAAATATTATTTTGCATGATGTTTGAATTTGAAGACATTTAATTATTACTCATAGCTAACCCCTCACTCAGCTACATAAAACACCAAGAATTGCTCAACTTAGAAAGATATTAAAAGAAACATTATATTTAGAACTCTTCTTAGTGTCCCATTCTAATTTAAATCCTGGCTAGAAGTGTTTAATTAAAACACAGGGCTGATTTCCTATCATTCTCAGTAAATACTTGATTGGCAAAGATTTCTTCTCCCAAATGTCTTTTGCATGAACTCAGATGTTACTTCTGAACACGGTTGAAAGAGTCTTTGTAGCACCATTTAAAGAGAACTGAACATATTGCTCCCGGTTATCCTGACTGTAATGACAGCTTCCCAAACCTATATAGGATAGAACTAGAAAATCAATGAGCTATAACTAAAAAATAGCACGCCCTCCATTACAGCTGAAACTGACTTTATTAAACAGGAAATAGAATTATAGAGTGGTTTCAAATTTTATTTGCCTGGTACTCAAACAACCCAGTTAGAACAGATTATTGCTAAATCCTAATAGGGTTTGTCAATGAGCAGTCTCTGAATTAGAAAGCCAGGTGTAGTAATGAGGCACTGATGTGATGGAATCAGCCACCATCCATGGTATTCGAGACTCGGGAGGAACAGAGGACCCAGCTGGACAACCCTCGGGGGTTTGGGGGTGGCCGGACCTTACTAACCTGCGTCAACACTGCTGGTCAGGCCCGGGGATTTAGCTCAGTGGTTCTGGCGCTGGCCTCGAAAGCGCAAGGTCCTGAGTTCCATCCCCGGTACCAAAAAACAACCACACAAACACTGCTGGTCAAAGGCGTCCTCAGAGTGAGGCGTCCTCACTCTTTGATACACGTCAGCAGACACAATCACACCCACATCATCATCTAAATCCCAATTCCTTCCAGAGTATCATGGCTGACCAGTAAGCCCTTTATCCACAGTAAGCAGATGCCACCAGAACTCTTCTCCCACATTATTTCCACACAGACGGAGAGTTTCAAAGGTAACACTGGGGCAGCGATGGCCAAATTTAGCCCGAGAGGTGATAATGCCCTTCTACCAAAATTTCCAATTCAAATTTCAGAAAAAGGAAGCAGTTGCTTGTGGAGACTTGTTATAATATCAAGCTGAAAAACCCGAGTCCTACCTGGTTGCCGGGAGAGCAGCATTTATTTGCCATCTTCATCTGTGGAGAAAAGGCAGCAAGGAGTCAGTACCACGAGGGCGCTGGGGTCCGCAGCTCCCCGCCTGCCCCACCTTGGGCAGCTGAGACAGATCCGCCTCCCGGCCTGTGCTCAGAGACCCATTTCTACTGTGCCAAGTTTCTCACTGCAGACCCACAGGGTGAACTACAGATGTAGGGCAGCAGCTCTCCCAGTAGGAGCAGCTGTATTAGCCCGCTTCCATCATTTCTTGTCAGACACCAGCCTTTTACGCTTGTGCGGCTATGGGACAACAGATGCTGACGTTCCAACACCTAAGAAAAGTGGGACGATGGCTTCTGCTTGCAAAATATTAGGCACTCACAGTTCACACTGGTTTTCCCCAAACCCTGCCAGGGCAATGTTATTTAGAGAAAAAAATTTTTTGTTTTTTGAGACAAGGTCTTCCTATGTATTCCAGGCTGGCCTTGAACTCCCTAGGCAGCCTTGACTGGCTTCAAACTCATGGTGATCATCCTGCTTCAGCCTCCCGAGTGCTGAGATAACAGGCATGCACCACCATACTGGGCTTATTTGGCAAAATTTTTACCAATGAGGAAATGGGAGTCCAAATATGCTCATATTCCGGCTCTCCTGATCTGCTCTGCTGACTGGAGCAATCCATGAAAATCTCCCAAACAGAAGGAGCTTTGTCCTCAGAAGCATTTTTGCAAATATCAAAACCTAACACCCTCTTCCACCCGCGCATCTCTGGAATTCAGTGTCTGAATTTGCAAACTAAGATCTTAAGAAGATGCTTCCTTGAATAGATGCAGAAAGGATGCTCTGAGGACTCTGGAACGGAAATCTCACACATCGCTGCTTCCCCAGGATTTCAGCGTTCAGCTTATCTCTGCTTGGCAGCAGGCTGAGTCAGGCCCCAGCAGCGGGGCCAGCAGGTGGGGGTGCACAGCCAGAGCAGACCAGAGATGGGGGTGAGAAGCAGGGCTCCAGCAGAGGCCATGGGGTCCTGGGCCAGCCTGCTGTGCCCCAGGGAACTTCACCCTGGACGCGAGTTCCTCTCCCACCCTAGCTCTTGTTATTCCTTTCTTTTTAAAAAAGAAAAAATAATCCGATTGACTGGTCATCAACTTACTGCTGAAGAATACACAATTTTTTTTCCTGTCCAAGATGGCTGCAGTGAAAATTTGAGATGCTGTATTTTTAGTTAGCTATGCCTTTTATAAGTTTTAATAATATTTGAGAGAATTATATTTTTTATCTCAGGTTTCCCCAAATAAAAATTTCAGATTGTATCAATGCATTTGGCTAAAATATACATATATAATTACCCCCACACAAATGTTGCTGTGTATATATATGTGTGCTAAGAAAGAGGCAGAGAGGGAGGCAGGGAAGCAGGGAGAGAGAGGAAAACAGAGAGAGGTCTGGGAAGTGCCCGGTATTAGTTGCTAGCGACCCTGCGTGGCTCTTGTGAGCCTGCAAGGCTGTCTTTGAAGACACTTGGAAGATTTCCTCTTTAACTTTTGCGATCAGAGGTGAGACGCGTGGAACTCCTGCACTTGCTGTCTTTGCGCCCCTCCCGGGGTCAGTGGCAAGGACTGAACCGCCTGACCGCCCACGCGGGGGAGCGCAGGGCGGAGGCGCTCACACTCTGCAGCGTGAGGCAGCTGATGTGGGCTGAGATGGCGTGCAGCCAGTCAACACAGTCCTGGGTGGTGGGGAACTGGAGGACTCCGGAGCGCGCCCCGTCCAGCGCCAGCACCTCAAAACCGCTGGACCTACAGGAAGAGGGGGAAGGCTGCTTCAGGGGCCACAGGCAGCAGGGGTTTTGCCACAGCAAGAAGAGCCCCCCAGCCTGGGCAGGCCCTGATCTCCAGTTTCCTGGGGAAACCCCACCACCACCAACCACAACCTCGAACACGCCGAAATAGGCAGGCTTGCTGAAATGCAGGGTGAAGCCTGGAATTTCCTCACTAGCGAAGGCTGTTCCAAGTAAGTAAACACTCGAAAAGCAATTCTTATGGGAAAGAGCTTTGCTCTTGCAATTCTGGAGTTGCTGTTTTATGGGGTCCTGTGTCGTAATGCTTCTGAAGGCCCCTTGACACAGAGTATCCAAAGCTCTCACTGCTAGGATGACGGGGCACCTCACCCTCGCCACTGACAGACCTGGGGCTCCCCATCTGGTCTCTCTCTCCTAAACATCTCCCCAGCCCTGCATCGTGAACACCCCTGTCTCCAGCTCAGGAGCTAGTCTTCCTTACCGTGTAGTCTTTTCAAAGGCGGCATAAGAGCTGAAAATATCATATTACAGGGACACACACACACACACACACACACCCCAATGTTAACAGCAGCACAGTCCACAAGAGCTAAATCCTGGAAGCAGCCTGTGTACCCATTAACGGACAAATGGATAAAGAAAATGCAGGGTCTATACACAAAGGAATACTACTCAGCTATAAAGAAGGATAAATTCAAGACATTTGTAGGAAAATGGATGCCCCTGAGAAATGTAATGTTAAGTGAAATATATCAGACCCATGAGGTCAAATATCACGTGGCTTCTCCCATTTGAGTAAAGCAAAGTACAAATAAAGAGCAAAATAAATGATTGATAGAAGAAAACCGGGAGATGAATCTTTTGCAAACTGGAATCAGTCCAGGAGACTAAGGGCGAGGGAACATGGGAGCAGAGGGGAAGTGAAAAGATTTAAGCCGTGCCAGGTAAAGTACCAAACACTCACAATGAATGTCAGCAAGACGTGTCCAAAACACGAACTAAAAGCATGTACTAATAACAAAAAGGACGAAAATGGGGAAAGGGGGCTTAGGGCCGGAGGGAAGAGGATTAAAAAGTAACCGGGCAGGGTTATGCACGTGCACTGCTCCCCTAGATGGTGAAATCTTTGGGTCTGGACGTCGGCAGAGTTGAACCACTGTTTGTGGCCGAGGAGCAAGGCAAGGGGCCCTGCCGAGAGCACTGTCACCGAACCCTCACCACATCCACAAAGGACACCTGCAAGCACAGGTGGGAGTCAGAGTTGCTAACATCTAGTCGCCAAGACATCGCTTCTCAAAAACCGAAGTAGAGGACGTGCAAATGAGCGGGAGGCTTTGACCTCTGCCTGGGGAGAAACAGGCACGGAGAGTCCCCCAGTGTCAGAGTAAACAGGAAGATGTCCAAGTGTCCATTCTAAATACGGTAAAGGAACTGAGGAAAACCATGTTTAGAGGGGAGTGTGGAGACCCCTGCCTCGGTTTCCCCAAGCTGTAGCGACCCAAGCTGTCCCATGGCCCGTGGAGCCTGTGCCAGGGCTCTCACCATGGGCAGTGTAGGCGGACAGGGGTCGCACATAGACTCTGTGTCTCCCGGAAAGAGGACGTTGGTGGCTTGGGCTGGAGGGGTCGTCTAGCTCATCTAGACCCTCTGTGTCCCCTACGCTTGACTCCCCTCCACCTTCAAAGGCCCCCCTCCACGCACACACACACACTCAAGTTCAATTCCTGATCAGTAAATAAATGGGGCTTTCTGGGTTTTTTAGAGCTATTTCATGAGTACCAGAAAAGATTTTGTGTCTTTGTTTTTAAGAGCAAAGGCAGAATCAAGGGTATTTGCCCCAACAAGCACACACACATGGTCTTTTCTTGTGATGATAGAACAGTGCTCCATAAAAAACATCCACACTTACTAAAAATGCACAGCTAAGGGGAGTACTAACTGCACAAGCACACATAAGCGTCTCTCCTCTCCTCTTTCAGGAAGATCACAGGCTGCACATCTCCTCTGTCCAGCAAATCCAGCTGCTTCGATTGTTGAAGGCATCGCAAGCAGGCTAGGAATGATTTTAACCCAAGCTTGCACTGTGAGCTTGTCACATTCTGCACTTGTCTTAAGAGATCACTTTACAGGACAAAATGAAGTGACTTTTAGCAAAGTTGAGATACTATAAGTCCAGAGCAGAGAAATACATCGATTGTCTATACAAATAAAACATATTCTAAAAGATTTAGTGGCTAAATCCACTGGGACTTCTAAGACTTGAAGTCTAGTTTTTATAACTATTTTGAATAACAACTTGCAGCTTTATCCTACAGTCATGCAAAAGAAATGCAACCAGCCCCTGCATCATGTCTGTGTTTTCTATGTCTACAGGGTCAGGGTCCTCAAGGAGCTGGCTTCCGAATTCCTCCCCAGGGTGTGTGTGGGGGGGTCCTCAGTGGATGCTGAACTTCTAGGTTCCTAGGACCCCAAAGTTTCTACCTTATAAGGAAGCCTTTTAACCCCTGTCTGTCCCTCCCAGCACTAGTGGGAAGTTGCCCAGCCTGCCTGGGCTGCCATCCGGACCGGGTGGGGCCACCGAGGTCACTGCATGTCCACCTGCCATGAGCGGGTGGGAAGCTGATCCCCCGGGGGACATGCTGGGTTGCCGCTCCTCCCCTAGAAGCGCAGGGCGCCACCTTCACATTAGGACACCGACCCTGGTGGCACCCACACAATCCCTTGGTCTCCTCCCAGTGAAAACCTATCAGACTGTCTGCAACCCACTGTGTCTAATGGGTGCATACAGCAACAACATCTGGCATTTGCTGGGTAACTGTGTTGTTCCAGTTCCTCATTTTTCAACTATCTTTCTTTCTTGCAGAATAAAAATTTTAAAAGCATCACTTTATCACTTATTCATTGAGTCTTCTTTCCATTGGAGCCAGGGAACTTGGTGGCAGTCAGGAAGTGGTTTCTGAGTAAACGTCCATCAGCAAGTGTTTGTTGCACTTCCAACATGGAGTACAACTGCCATCACTGGGCTCCGTGTCCCCGAAACCGGGCATTGTCCAGGAGCACGTGCAGCTGGCCCGTGCTGTGGGTTTACCAGCTTTAGTGCCAGAGATTTCCTCTGCTCATTTGTGCTTTCCCACTCCATTGGGGTATTTGGCAGAGCAGAGCATTTGCAGTAATTTCTTAGTCCATATGGTGCTTAAACTCTGCCCCAAAGAGCCTGTTGTCAATGCTTTCTGGCTAGAATGCTAAAGCACAAGGATGAGTACAAAAGAATCCCCAAAAGAGTTCACAACACAAGATACAAAATTTTATGCCTCCCTCCTCCTCCTCCTATTTCTGCCTTTTTGACTATACACTTTGAAGCAAGTCTACATGAAAGCATGTATACAGCCTTTAGCAAAAGTGTGTGCATCCCCATGAGCACTCAGAGCCTCTGTGTGTGCTGTACCTTGCCCCATGCGTGTGCAGTGTGCTGCAGCAACACACGTGTTGTTACTGCACGGAGGATGAGGAAGGAGCTCTTCTCTCCAATCCGGACCAACAACCTGACCTTCTGTCTCCAGAGTAGAGAAAATGTGAGCCTAGGGCACTGAGGACGAAACAGCATCCCTGCCACCTGCCAGCCACCAGCAAGGGTGTGGGTCCCAATAAAGGGGGGCTATAGACTGCCAGCCTCAGATGGGGGCTCTCCAGGGACACCGGGGAACAAGACAGGGAGAGAAGACACTATCCAGCTGCAAAGGGACCCTCATGCGGCCGCTGGCCACTGCAGATGCCGTGGCCCCAGGGCAGACTGGACCTCTGCTTCCCTCTCCCCACCTCCAGGTTAAACACCGTGCAGACAGCAGCCAACCGCAGGCCCCAACACCGGCAGTGCCACGTCTTCCCCCTGGCCCCGCTGTCCCAGGTTCTCCTCCTACTGAGATGCTTGGTACCCGGGAGGCTGCCCGCCTGCTTGGGAGCCCTGACATCTGAACATCTATTAATAGGAGGACTTTTTAAATGGCATTGATGTTCAAACATGATGCTATCTTTTGCAAAGCAAATGAGAGGGTTTCGCAGGATAATTCTGACTTGTACTATCACGTTGTGTACTGTGCGTATCTGCAGTATGTCTGTATTGTGCGAGTGTTATAAAGCCCATCTGGCTCTCTGTAGGCATTTTCTTCTAAAATAAGGTGAGTTCCACCAAAACAATATGGAATTTTATTGTAAGTGATAAAATTTAATGTCCCTGTTATTTTCAAAGCTGTGACAGGTGTGGGATTAAAAAGACCCCGAATTGTGGTTTTGCTCTCCCTACTGTCCCTTGCTGTCCTCTTTCCCTCTCTTCCTGTTATGGAAAAAGACAAAGCCAATGACTGCTCAATCTTTCTGGCCAGGATAAAGCAAGAGGCATAGAAAGGGCTAGTCAGGGTGGAGCAGTGAAGACAGGTGCCAGGTGTCAAAGAGCGGAGTCGGCAGTGATGAGGTGTGGCGTGGGCTCTCAGGCTCGCCAACTGCTCTTCTTCCAGGGTTAACCACTCAAATCTGACTTTCTACTCCTTTTCTTCCCTAAGTCACTGAAATGCTGCCTCTGCTCTGTTGTCTAAGCGTCCTCATTGCCATGGTGATGGCGGACCTTCCGCCGGCCTGCCATTGCTCTTGCTCCAAAGACACCCACTTCCTTTCTTTATGAAACACACACATGCTAGTCACAGGAGACTGCTCCAATCCAGATCCTGCAGGCCTTGCTCAGAGCATGCAGAGGGAACCTGGAGTTTGAGGCTCGGGCTCTGAAAAGCCCAGATTCCAGTGGTGAGTTAGAACATGGATGGACTCCCTGGAGGCAGAACTGGCCAAGTCACTACAGGCATTCCAGATGGGCTCCAAGATTCCCCACACACACCCTGCCCCTTAGGAGGTGCTGCTGGGGAGGAGGTGGGAATTGTGACTAAGGTGACCTTAGATTAGGTTGATGCCTGGGGTGGCCTGAACTTAGAGGTCTGAGCAGAGGAGCCAGAGGGGGAAAGGACCAGGAACTCCTAAGGCAGGTGTCGGAGTAGGCTATGGTTGTGAGTCCCATACAAGGAGGTCCTGAATTCTGCCACCAGGTGAACCTTCGGGATGGCACCAGGCCAGCAGCACCAAGGCCTTGGCCTCCTGAGACCTGAGCAGAACACAGCCTGGCCAGAACACAGACCCACACTGAGAGACAGAGCCCCTGTTCTTAGGTAGCCACCGGTTTGCACAGGTTTGTTGCTGGACAGAAAACAGACAAACTTTTAACCCAAACTCTGGCCTTCCACACCACCACTGCCTCTTCTTCGATTGTCTTGGTTTGTGTCACACGGTTCCCATGTTACCCAGGGATCACGGCAGACCCAGCTCCGCCCAGATGTGGGCAGAGGCGACAGCAGCATGTAGAGTCAATGGGGACAAAGCCAGCTGCCCTTGCCTCTGAGGCTTTGACCCTTAAATCAGTGAGCTTTTTAAACATGCATCCACAGTCTCAAAAATAAGCCTCCAGCAAACAAAGGCACCTCAGTCATTTGGTCCAGTTACTTAAAACAGGAAAGACCCAGGTGGCATCAGCACATAGCAGGATCAGGGGTCCTTGCTTGTACCCCACAACCCAATACTTCAGCAGCCACCAATGTGCAGCAGTGCCCCGGGGCCCTGTGGCTCGGGCAAGAGTGGTGAAAGCCCACAGAGCCCAGTACTGGGAGGCTCCTCTTGGATAGCAGTCCTTCCCCGGCCACCACGGTCCCCACTCTGGACCAGGAAGCGGTCTCATTCCCCAGTGTTGTGGCCACATTGCTGCTGGCCTTGCGCCTGCTGCTGAGCCTCACCCCGGGCTTCGGGCTCAGGCTTCAGCCCAGCCGTGGACCCCAGGCTGACCCTGACCAGTACGTCTGCCCCTGCTCCCCAACCTTCGACCTCTCCCCAGGACTCGGTCTGCCAGACACAGGGCACCTTCGCACCAGGCCAAGCCCCAAAGCGGCTGAGGGGCCACAGGGCACCGGCAAAAGTGCCCGGCCTCACCAGCCCCCTTTCCACCACGGTCACACACCTGAGGCTTCCTGTGCTGGCTTTGCACCTGGAGATCCGAGCCATGGACAGAGGAATGCACAGGGTGTCCAACCAGCGCTTCTCATACTTTGGTTCATCAGCTGTGGGTGAGGACGGTGAGGACAGCGCCTGACGAAACGAATGGGAGTCGGGTCACCGCGCTGTCCAAGTGCTGCACACAGGAAGGGCGGTGCGAGGCTCCAAGGCATCTGTGCCCTCAGGTTTGGAGCAAACCCAGGGTGCTGCGACACAACTGCATCAGGACCCAGAGACGAAAGGGTACCCGAGCCCAGAAGATTTCCTCCGGTGTTTCCAAAAGGGAGGAAGGCTGAAGAACGGAAGCAACACAGACATGGCTTTTGAAAGGGAGCACAGCCCAGCACTGGAGGCTGTGCCCGTGGGGGTGTGGAAGGAGACGGAGGCTGGCCTGAAGCTTCAGGGCCAGATCCTGGCACAGGACAATGCCACCGCGTCCTGAGGAGGCCCGCGTCCCTGGGCTCACTTACTGCGGGGCAACTGGCTTGCTGTCCATCCAGTAGGTGCGGCACTTTGGGGACCCAGGGCACAGGATGGCCTCCTTCTTGGGACGGGGGATGAGGGAGGACGTTGGAAAAATGCTGGACAGGCCATTCCCAGGCAGGACAGCCCTGCAGGATTCTAGGCCAGAGGCCCTTCTGCAGGATGTGCTCCAGGTCCCATAGGGGAGGGCGAGCTGCCTGGCTCGCCAGAACAATAGGGGTGGATTCCCTGGCCCCCATGCAAGGACGCTCCACACAGACGCAACTCCCTGGGCCCTGGGCATGGACACCTCAAATGGTCATAAGGCCAAGACCACAGGCCTTTCCACTTAACCTTTGGCCTTCGAGATTGTCAAGGTCACACCCTTTGGCATGAGGCAGAGCCCCTGGAAAGCCAGCTTAGGGGGGCTTTTGTTAACAGAGGGGATGAAAGTTCACACAGGGATATCCTTACACTGAACTTCGTGATAACTGCGCTATTTTCCACAGAAGGGATAAACCTGATGACAGGGTCAACCTGTGGATGCTGAGCTCTGTAGACAGGAAGCCACTTATGTGCATGACACTGGAAATGCAGGACCCTTTTCTCGAGGGAGGAGAGCATGGGGTCAGAGCAGAGATGTACAGGGCGAGACACTCGGGGTAAGAGGAGCCTCGGATGGGGGCCGGAATGTTCAGAACCACTGTGGGGTGGGGCCAGCTCTGCCTTCCCATGAGCCCCTTGCCTAGATGAATGCATCCACTGAGGCCATCGCTGACCAATGTGCTACCCTGTGGGGAGAGGCAGGAGCTTCCCAGTATTCAGGTGAATCGCACCCTGGGCCTTCCAGGCCCCTCTCTGCTGGGCGCCTGGCCCACAGAGCCTGAGTCCGATGAGGAAATGTTGGGAGCTTCCTGGGCTCGAGGCTTGAACCTTCAGGGGAGAAGGGAAGCAGGTGCATGTGAAGGGAGGGACATAGGTAATCTGAGCAGGGAAAGGGCTGGGAACTGTGTAGACGTCTCATTCCCGGGAGCTGGGGCAGCCTTCCTCATGGTCTCCGAGCAGAGCTGTGGACTCAGGCTGGGGGGCTCCTCACAGTAGACCCCAAAACAATGTCTACTTCTCTGGAGGCTCACGCTGGGGCAAAGAAGCCTCCACCAACCTCAGAGACCACCATGTGGACAGAACGGGTCCAGATGGGCCCCGCCACGATAGCCCTGTGTGGCCTGCAGCATCCGGCCACCCTCCTCACCTGTATGTTCCTGAGGAAAATAAAGCGCTGTGTAACGGACGAGATGGCCAGAACCAGAGGTAAACCCAAAAGGTACAGGCAGCGAGTGTCCGGCCAAGGTGCTAATTATGACAGCAAAATTGGATTTGCCACCTTGAATTCTATCAGAAAGTGTCACACACCAGAACATCCCACAAGACCTCTGTCCTACACTTTCAATCAGCTACTATGCTTTAACAATTATCACTCAGAAAGTGGAAATGGGTTTTATTGGTGAAAATGAGGATGTGCTGAAGAGAATGATAACTACGAGAAATGTGCTCTTCAAAGGAAAACTAGTCATGCAGCATTGAGGATTGAAATATTTTGGTCTTTTCCCACTCTAGAGTCCAGCAGGAATTGCAGACTGGGTGGGTGGTCATGGTCCCTCAGGCTGGTATGTGACAAACTGTGGCAGGCTGAACATGGACCCTGAGAGTCAGGGGTCGGCCCTGGCCCGGAGCCTGGCCATGCTGCCTCGCTTGGACAGAGGCCTAGAGTGAGCAACCGAATCAGGGATCCCCAGGTGGGAGCCGGTCCTTCACTGTGTGTTGCTGTCCAGTTGCTAGTACCTCTGTCTTTACAACAGCAGGATGGGGAGTCTCGGAGAGAAGAGAAGGCAGCCGTGAGGATGGAGGCAGCGATGAGAGAGATGCAACCATGGACATCTGGAGCCCTGGGATCCAGGAGCAGGGAGGATCCTGTCCTACATCCTTGCCTATGCCTTCATTTGGGACTTCTAAGCTCCCAATGAGAGGACATTTCTGTTGCTTTCAAGCCTCTGTGTTTTTGGTAATTTGTTACAGTAACCACAGGAAACTAACTGCCAACCGTGAGTGCTAGGTTCTTTGACTGGAGCTTTTGGGTCTTAGCATTGGCTGGAAGAGAACTCTTTTCAGGTTGGAGTGGCCCTGAGCAGAGTCAGGCCACCTGAGCATGCTCCTCTGCTAAGGCTGAGCCATCTCAGGTCCCCATGCATGAGTGCGTTGAGACCTGCTCCTCTCAGTAGCTTCGAGCCTCCCACAGTAGCTGATGTCACCCACCACACAGCAATGCTCCCAAGCATCCTGGGGCTCAGCTGGCTTTGAGGGTTACTAAGAGGGACAAAGGGAAGCACAGAATGCCACACTGCTGGCACAGCACAAGACCTGTGGTGATCTAGCTGTCATTCCCGCTGCTTTATAAGACCCTCTCTTGCTCTTCTGCACTGAGGTCCTCTTTGCATTCACACTCCAGGAATTTACACGGAAAGCCTCTCACCAAACCAGGCCACAAGGAGGCTGGACATTGAGGCCAGGGCTGCCCACAGCCCTTGTCCTCATGAAGAGAGCAGCAGGGACGGAAGTGTGCCTGCCGTCCTCCCAACACTCTGGGTTTGGATTGCTGATTGCATGGCCCACAGCTCGGTAGACAAGGGGCAGTAATGTAACATTCAACGCTGATTGAGTCTCATTCCTGTGCTTTGCTTTTGGGGTCCAACCTCCAGGAAACTTGTGTTTCAGGACACCCATGAGCACTGCCTTGCAGGAACAGCAGATGCATCATTCACCACGCATTTTACACTAGCTTTGCTGAAATACACATTTATCTCCATGGATTGCTGCAGCCAGTATAAGAATTCATCACAACTTATTCCAGATTGAGGCCTGATTCTAGTTATCATTTTAACGCCAGTAAATGTATTTATAGTACTGCATTCCTGGTAAAAGGCTTCTCACCTTTAATGTTTCTGTATGCTTGTGCTTTGCTGAGTATACCATAGCAATTGCCATTAGGGCAAACACATTAGCTAAAATATGCTCTCAATTTTCAGATTAGAATAATATTCAAAGCTAAAACTTAGGATTTCACAGTGGAATCTAGAATCCAATAAACAACATTTCAATACACCCTGGAGACCCTTCTGAGGATGTCTGGGTGGTCATGGAGGGGAGACCTCTGGTAACATAGCTGGTCCCTTCCTCCTTCTTCTCTGGAGCTGTTTCCCAGCTTTGCTTTCTGGTCACCATGAACTGAGCAGCTTTGTTCCACCAAGACCTTCCACCATCATGTTTCTGCCTTGGAGCAGCTGACCATGGACTGAATCCCCTGAAACCACGAGCCAAATCAAACTTCTCCTCCTTTATGTTATGGATGCAAGTATTGAGACCCAGCAATGGGAAAGCTGACTAATAACAGCCATAGCCCCCCACAAAGGCCTGCTCCAGCCCCCTGGCCAACATTCCCACTCCAACAGGTATGTGACTTGGAACACTTCCCTGGAACACATGTGTTATGGTCAGTGCGGAATACCAAGCTAGACTCTTGCTCCATCCTCAGCAGAACCTCCCAACACAAAGTGGGAGTGGAGCTGAACAGTGAAGGGTCACAATGGATTTCTGCACCACAGCTAGACTGCATGAACATGAGCCACAGCCAGGGTGCAGGGGCACTGTGGTTTGCTGGAGCAGATTGGCTGCTTCTCAGCTGCTGCCCGGTCAGTGCAAGACCCGACTCTGCAGGTTTCCCACCTACTAGCATGTCCCATGTCTGAGGCAACACAGTCACAGCTACAGCCACCTGGCCTTGGTGACCGTGTGCCTGGACACACTGGGTCAGAGCAGCAGTGGGCTCCAAGCCTGGTGCTAAAGGCCAGCATCAGAGGCCGCTTCCAGATGACCTGCCTCTGATACCCACCCTACTGCGGAGATGCCATGCACTGTTCCCACAGTTCCATAGCCACCAAGAAGTACCAGTACTGTGACCAGTTTCATTGTGGCTTTTGTAAATAGGGAACAAATGTAGGTTAAGGAGTGAAAGCTCAGCCTTTCAAGGGAACTTGACCAAAATAAGTCCTTACTGAGGATAACAGCACTCAAAGACAGTGGCAGATGTGTTTCTGGATGGTCTTCACATGACAAAGGAGCAGGGATAAAACAGCTGTGCCGAGGGGCTGGGAATTTAGCTCAGTGGTTCCACTGCCTGCCTCACAAGCACAAGGTCCTGAGTTCGATCCCTGGTACCAAAAAAAAAAGCTGTGCTGAACAAGCTGGGGCCAGATCCATTTGCCATTTAGTTAGGAGCCATCAGAATTTTTTTGGTTTGGTTTGGTTTGGTTTTTTGAGACACCATCTTGCTATGTAGTTCAGGCTGGCCTTGAACTCACTACGTAGCCCAGGCTGGTCTCAAACTTGCTTCAATCCTCCTGCCTCAGCCTCCAAAGTGCTGGGATAACAGGTATGCACCACCATACCCAGTCACCATCAGAATTTTCTAAACTATCAAGTATAATATTGGTCAACACTTTCCAGGCCTTAAAAAATATAGATCTCTGAAAACCACGTATTTTAGAAATTCAAAGCTGCTTAAATCACATCTATAAAATGGTTTTAGTTATCTATCAGTGTTTGCTATTTGGAAAAATACATCTAAAGGTTTTGAAATGATGAAAAATGAGTTTCATATTTAAAGATTACAGCACTCTTTCCTATGATTTGAGTCAAAACTGTCCTATGGTTGAACAAATCAGGTTTAATAAGCACTAATGAAATATATTTTTTAAAAGACTGTTGACATGTGTCAGGAGCTCCTGGATGTTTACTTTTTGCTGTGTAACTCACATACAAGCTAAGTAGAGTTTCTAATGATCGAGAACTCTATTAAACAGCTCAAATGAAGCATTTACTTTAGGAATACACCACACAAGCACAATGTTTTCCCTGGGCTCTGCCTGCAGCCAGGTCACTTGATAGTTGATTGGCTAGGATGAATAATAACGCACTTCTCAAATTGTGGACAGGATGTTAAAATCCTTTTTATGTACCAGGGCTCTGTGGGCAGTGATTCCTCCCACTGAGAGGGAGGCTGGGCTCATCACGGGAGTTTTACAGAAATTCCCTAAAAGTCATCTCAGCATCTCCTGAAGGCAAGGTTACAAGTGGACTCTGAATCCTACCTTGGGTTAAAAATCACGCCTGTGTGCAGATCCACAATGTACTGCCAACTTCGAGCACTCCCTGGGGAGTGGATGTCAGCGAGGCAGCAACTAACTAACATCCCTGGGGCCATCAAGGGCCAGCCTGCATCAGAGACTTCCCAGGAGTGTCGCCATGAGCGCTCATGCTTACCGTGTGGCTGCAGTGTCCATTCAGGTGCAGGCCACTGTCAAACAGGGGCGAGGACGCCCTGCTGCTGTGGCTGCTGGACGGCCCCGGGGACCCTGCGGAGAAACAAAAGGTGTCAGGTTCCGGTGGCAGCTCACGTTTGAGTCATTGGTGGCTTTGCTGTGACTGCCAAGGGACCCCTGAGCACGGGGAGCACCCACAGCCCAGTGCGGGGTCCCTGAGGGATGCTGGTGCAGTATGGGCTGGGCTGCCTATGGGGAGCTCCTGGCTGTGGGGACTGGGCCTCACCCCTCAGGAAGGGCTCACAGAGGAAGAGCCCAGGCCAAAGCCCTGTGTGCCTGTCCTTCAGGCTGGGGGCAGGATGCCAGCAGGCCTCTCCCGCAGCACAGGATCATCCCCAGACTCAGACACCATCAAGTCACTCTTCTGGGAGTGGGGAGGACACCCAAGGGACTCCCAGGTTTCTCCAGGGCTAGCACTGGAGGCTCCCACTGAGCATACCCCGCATACCTTGGGTAAAGCCCAGCTCTGGGCATCAGCTCCCTGCAAACACAAGCTGTGATGAGGACTGCCCAGCGTGGCCAGCATTGAGTGGAACCCATGGTGTTTCCCGCCTCTCCTGAATCGTCACAGGACACACAAGGTTCCTGCCATCCCCACGGCCCCCAGGGCAGGGCCAGGTAACGTTCTCCCTGTTGTTGTCACCCAAGTATTCTCTGGCCCAGCATGAGCTCAAGTAGCTCTGCATGTGACTCAGCGCCCGGTGCCTTCATTTCTGTGCAAATGCGGCATAATCCCAAGTAACCGAGCACAGACGGGTGACAGGGACAACGTCCCACAGAAGCGGAAACCCTATGGTCCCTCAGCAGAGGCCCGGGCTGCTTGGAAAGTGGAGAACAGCCCGGTGCAGGGCCTGCCACCAGCTGGCCAGGAGCTGTGACAGCGACGAGGGGCTGCAGCAGAGCAGGGTGGGGGTGGGGCTGCACCTCCACCCCGCGTCGCGTCTGCAGCGCTGCAGCAGGGAAGCTCGAAGCCGGCTGCCCCACCACACTGTCCTAATGCTGGCCTTCCCCGCGGCAGGGCTCAGACGGCCTTGGGGACAGGAGGACCTGGCAGCCCCGCTCACCTCCACTCTCCCTCCACACCGCATGCTGTCAGCTGCCTCGCGGGGCTGTCTGAGCACTGATATCTCTGTGGCACTGTGCCACGTTCCGACAAGAAAGGGAGATCTGAAGGGTGGGGACGCTGGGGAGGACTGAACCCACACCCAGCAGTGGGCAGTGCCTTTGATAGGCAGCTTTTCTCCCCCTTAATTATTATTAACGCGTCCTGTTCATGCCCAGCGGGATCTCTGTGGCCTCCAGCACAGAGCAGTGTTCTGGAAGCAGCTCCTTCTTGGCTTTCGGCATCGAAAGTGCACTGGGCAGCGCTCTGCCTGAAGCTCTGCTTATGTCCATACTTGGTTTATCACTAATTTGAGAGCGAGATCACATGTTTAACAGCCTGTGCTCTCCTCTCGCGAAATCCCAGATGCGCCGGAGGCACAGCTCCACGTGACTGAAGAAGGGAACAGAGACTAGGTGAATGAATCTAAACTTACACACACGTAGCCACTAGACTTCTACTCATTTTTTTTTTTTTGATGAGTGGGTAACTTTTAATCTACACCTCAAAAGAGAAATTTGAGCAGTTATATCTTTCTTTGGTTTATCAACAAGAAATCTATTTAAACTTTTAAACTGTGCGGTGGCACACTCCAGGAGGCTGAGGCAGGAGGACCGCAAGTCCAAGCCCACCCTGGGCAGCTTGCTGAGTAAGATCTTGTCTCATTAAAAAAAAAATCAAGATGAATTAAAAGGGCCGGGGCTGCAGCTCCGTGTGAAAAGCCCTGGGCTCAAATCCCAGTAGTGAAAAGGAATCAGTGTTAGTAATTTCTAATGATACACAGCGTAGACAGGCACGGGGTTCCCTGGTGAAGGATACTCCCTGGAATCCAATCAGTGTAAAACATACCTGGCAGCACGGGCTTGATGTCAATGGCTATTCGTGTTCCCTTTAACGTGATTCTTTAAATGCAGCTGACACAGGGCGCATGGATCTGTCATGAGATTTCCCTACGTCACCGGTTCGTTTCTGGATGACACTGGGTCAGGCAAACAGGCGACCCAATGCACAGAGTCCAGTCAGGCAGCAGCAATTCTGCCTTCCTGGAAAGTATCTTGCCTGACTCTTTGGAGAGACTATGGCCGCTGTGGTGTGTGTGTGTGTGTGTGTGTGTGTGTGTGTGCGCGCACGCGCGCACGCGTGCCTGGCCTTGAACTCACTATGTAGCCCAGGCTGGCCTCCAACATATGGCAATCCTCCTGCCTCAGCCTCCTAGGCTGTTTAAATTTTTTATGGATACTAAGACTTTGCCGTTTCTAGATAACAAAGAACCAAATAAAAGAAGGAGAGACATTTCCTGAATTCCTGGAGGACTGGGCATCCTTCCCTGAGCCTGGGCACACAGAGCCCACACGGTCTGCCCTCCAGGCGTGCTGGCCCCTGCACCCCTGAGCCGAGGTGAGCTGTCCTCCTTAACAGCCTTCTCCGGGGTTTCTCTATGGGGCAGACGCCCTAGCTGTAGTCTCTCTCTCCCGGCACCCTTCCTGAGACAGAAGAGAAGTGGACTCTGCTCCTTCTCCACCACTAGCCTGTCCCAGGCCACAGTCGATGACCTCGGCTTCTCCCCATGTCCCTCTCAGCCTCGAGTCCTTGTCCTGCCACCTGCAAGACCCTCTCCCTGCAGCCCCTGAATGGACTTCGCTGGCCTCTGGGCCTGAAGACAGTGAGGGGTGGAGGTTATCCTCAGCGACTGCTTGTCCTCTTCTCATACCCGTCCTCCTTTCTTCCCATCTACTACAATCTCAGTCTCTGCTCTTCCCCCTACCCTCCTCGGTTGCCTCTTCTGATCTGCAAGGTTGGCTGTACCCCCAGAACACTGAAGTCCACATTGCCCACTGCCTCCCCTCACTCCATCTGGATGCACGAGGAGCTGGGTTGCAATCCCTTCAGCCTGGAAGGTGCAGCTGCCTGGTGGCCCCAGCAGTTCCAAGGCCTCGAGCCTTCGAGTCCCCGCTCCCAGATCGCAGCAGTGTCTCTGGAAGATGCCAGTCTCTGCTCCCTGTGGTCTGCGCCGCCTCTGACACTACCTTCTACACCGTGCTGTGCAGCCCCACACTGCACATCTTGCCCACAGGGCCCTGGTTCTGCCCCCTGACCCCCACCCACACCCCTGGGACCTCCTAATCTGGCTCCCATGAGGGGCAGAGACAACCTCAACCCTGTGCGGCACAGTGCAGGAGGGAGGCACGGTCCTAAGGCTGGGACAGCATGTCGTCCCTCGAGGTGTCCTGCGGGTCCCCTCTCAACCAACCAGGCCATGAGGAGTGAGTCTCATACCCCTTCCATTCAGCATGGAGCCGAAGGCTTGGCCCTGAGAGCAGCGGCAGGACAGCAAGGAGGAGGTGACAAGAGGGGGCGTGAGACGAGAGAGGGAGGAGCAGTGCTCTCAGGTGAGAGGGAGGACAGGGACACTGAGCAGCGGCCGAGGGCCCAGCACAGCACCACACTGCTGCCCCTGCAGGAGGGCGCTGGCTGGGTCACACTCACAAAAGCAGGAGAGACAGGGGTGGAGTGAGGTCCCAGGGCCTTGTCACCAGCAGTCCCCAGGCCGGGACTTTGCCTCTCAGGCTGGGTCCCAGGAACCACAAGCTCCTCCCCATGGCTTGACTTCGCTGCCATTTTCATCTCTGGCACTAGATGTCTCTGGGTCAACCTGGGCATTTTGAATGTAATCCTGCCTGCATGTGCGTGTGCGTGCGTATATGTCTGGGTGAGCACGATCGTGCAATCATCGGGACAGAAGAGACGCAGAGCCGCTGCACGGCTGAGGGACCCAGGGACGGACTCCCTGCACCACGGCTCACCTCAAGAACACATGGCACCAGCAGCCTCTGAGAGTATCTCACGGCAGGTGATCTCTCCTCTCTGCTTACCTATCGGGAGCTTCAGGAACGATGGCGCCTCCCGGAGGTACTCCACGGTGATGGTGACTTCGTCCCCCGCATTTCTCAGGAGATGTACCTGCCCTCGAGACAAACAGCACTTGATCATCCATCACAGAGGACCCCGTGCATAAGGAAATCAAATCCCCGCAGACCTGCCCTGCTCCCCAAGAGCACCTCAGTTACCCAGAACACCAGGTGGGGCTGCAGGACATTGCCCCGCACCTCGAAACCATGCCACCTCTGCCCCCGCAGAGCCTGATGTGATGCTGGGCAGGGTCCTTCGAAGAAACGGAGCTGCAGCATCCTATGCAATTGTCAAATGCATGTCCTACCAGATGACAGCTCCACGGGCACAGTGTGTGCTCACATGCTATGTGAGCCAGGGTGTCATACAGGTGAGCAAGGGCTGGTGGGACTGGGGGGGCCCCAAGAGAATGCCGGCCGATTCTCTTTTTGGCACTGGGGTGACCCCGGGGACACGGGGGAATCAAGGGCTCCTGCACTTCAGTGCCCTTGAAGGCAGTGTGGGGTGGCCATGTGCCTTCCCCAGGCACGTGAGCAGCTGTGGCAACCCTGTCTGCAAAATGACACAGCAGGAACTCCCCTGAGGTCTGTGCAGCACGACTCCCCGACCCCTCAAGCTGCCCTCTCCAGCCCTAAGATTGTGCATCTGTGAGGACACTCAGTAAGTGTTGATGCAGAGTGAAAATAATGAGAATAAAAAAATAACTAACAAGAACAAAAACTAACACATATGACACTCACCACCTCTTCGTGGGTTGCATGTTCTACATGAATGCCGTTGACCTGAATGGTTGACAAATTAAGAATGCTGAGGACAGTCGTTGATTAAAATAAGTTTAAAGTAAAATGCAGCAAAGGGGAAATGGAAGTTCAAAGGACTGACCTGTAGAACAGCATCTCCTATGAACAACATCCCTGAGCGGTCAGCTGCAGGGTTGGAAAAGCAGCAGAAGAGTTAGGGGAACGGAAGCAGCACCATGCTGTCACAGCAGACACTTAAGCACTGTGTTGCAGCCAGAACTGTGGACATGTGTTTGTGAGTGTGCCCCCAGTTCTGTGCAGGCCCAACATGTGCTTGTGTGTGCACACAGGAGTAGGTGCACTGGGGAGTGGGAGCATGAATAATATGTGTGCACGCGTGTGTATGTTCATGTCTATGGGTGCCAGGGTGTGGCGGGTGCATTTGTGGATGTCAGTGTGAGACATGCATAGCTTTGCATGTGCATGTGCGCATGTTCATGCTTATGTGTACACAAGTGTGTGTGCATGCATATGTGTGTGGAGCCTATGGACATGCGTGGCTGGAGTGCACACAGCATGTGTGTGGGAAATGAGACATAGAGTGGTAGCAGCCAAGAGGAGCTACACAGGCAGCAGCGGGAGGGGCGTTAAGACCCTTGTTCCCCAGACACCACATGCTGAGGGGCATGGGTGTCACTCCCTCCTGCAGGGCTTCCTCGCCACAGACGACAGTCTGCCTCACATTTGTCATTAGACACAGACAGCAGAGAAGGACCTAGAAGCCACTCAGCATTTCCTCCTCATTCTCTTTATTTAAGAAACGTCCAGGGTGCTTTAATTCAAAGTCTGTCCCCAGAATAGTAGAGGCAACGAGAAAACCTTGCATTGTACAGTAAATATAATCTTCAGGGCCCGTTCCACTCTACATTTCCACCGTCGTGGGGACAGAGAGCTCCTTTCAGTACTCCTGAACACAAAACATTTGCTTCCTTCTTCCTTTATATGGATTTATTTTAATTTTGCAGGTCTTTGATTAAATATTGGAAAACAAGTATTACTCTTAACAATGGAACGCTCTTTAAAAAGTATGATTTTTTAAAGATTTAATGTCAACTGTCAATATTATCTCTAGTCATTCTCAGCATTGAGACATATTGAAAATAAAATGCAGCTCCACATTCTGCAGGGAAGGAGTTGATGTTAAGGAACCGGAAGGAGATTTGCCTTTCCTCTGCCACTTCCCAGGGCTAGCGGCCCTGGCTGTTCCGCCGGGCTTCCTTGGACTCTACTACGCATGTGCAAAGGCCCTGTCCCCACTGTCCCGTGCTCCCGTCCCTGGCCGTCCCCCTGCCGCCCTCCAGCTCGGGTCTACTGATCACTGCCTCAATCGAGATCACCGCCACGGGTCACCCGGAGCCCCGGAGTCCCCACCCGAATCTCCATGGGAAGAAATCGTACTCTGCGGGAAAAGCGTTCCCAGCTGCGGAAGCATCCAGGAGGGGTGGCTCTTTCTTCTTTGGGAAACCCACAGCGGGAGAAGGGAAGCTCTGCCGCAGGTGGCGGGAGGGAGCCCTGGGCAGCTGGGAGTCCTGGTCCCGGGCCCTCGGGCGACAGCGGGGCCAGGCTCCGTCTGGGTGATGCGTCCCCTCACAGGGTGCTGAAGCTTCTCTCGGGGCCCGTGCACCCTGCTCTGCGCTGAACGTCGTGTCTGGGAGAAGCGAAAGCTCCGCGGGGCCCAGCGTGGACCGAGCCTGCCGAGGCCAGGAAGTCTGGGAGCCCAGAGGACCTGGCGAAATCGAGGTCAGGCCCTCAGAGCCACTGCAGGACTCAGACAGTGTCTCAGAAATTCCCCAGGAATGCAAATAAAATGCCACCTTGACCTGTCATGGCAGTGGGGACAGCCATGCAAGGAACAGGATCCACCGTGCGGTTCGTGCCTGGAGGCCAGTGGGGACTGAGAGAACGGGCAAGGCGAAGTGTTCCTCACTCCCCCAGACACCGTGTCTGTGCCCACTCCGAGAGGGAGCAGAGCCGGCCACCAGCCAGCGAAGGCACGAAGAAGCTATTCCTGCACCACAAACTTCCACGACGGTGCCAGGCGCAATTCACACCCAGGGTATACACTGGCCAGGATTGTGTGTGTATCCACACCTACAGTCACAAAGGATGTCATTCATTCGGTAACCTTTCATAAGCCTTTTATCTTCATAAATCCCAGAACAGGACACTGAGTAGACTCTACTGCAGGCATGATTCCATGCTTCATCATAAATAAAGAATATCTCTCATATGCTGAAACTCAAGAAAAATAACTCGAACAAGAGGGACTATTAGGGGGTGGAGAGGAGGGGGAAGAGGGGAAGGGAAGGGGAAGAGGAGGGCTGGATGGATACGATCAACAAAGGCACAGACAGGCATGGAAACACCAGGGCGAATCCTTCATAGAGCGCATGTTAATAATCACATACTAATTACACAGCTGGAGACTCACTGGGACAGTATCATAATCACACTAGAAACCTCTATTAAATAAAGATCACGCTGTTGGAAGACATTTTCAGGTTTTCCATTACAAAATACATATTCTATGCAGACAATCTGTTTTCCTCTTTGGGGTGTGGAAGTCTGGTTTCCCCAGCACCACCTGTCAGAGACACTTGTCCCTTGTCCCACTGCCATCCTGGTTGGTGCCCCGGTCAGAAACTAGTTGCAGGCCTGAGTTTGGGTCTACTTCTGGGTTTTCTCATCTATTTCACTGGTCCGTATGTTTGTTTTTATGCCAGTACAAAACTATTTTGATGACTGTAGCTTTATAATATAGCTTTCTTTTTCCCCTCCACTCCACTCTTTCTCTAGATCCCCTTCACTTTTGCAAAAGATCTCCCTCCCTGTTTCCTATTATCTATCTTTTATTTTGATCTTTGATTTGTTTATTCTTTGGGTTTCTCATATATAAGAGAAACCATGTGATATTTAAGCTGTGTGTCTGATTTATTTCACCGAACGCTATGATCTCAAGGTGCATCCATTTTCCTACAAATGACTCAAGTTTATCCTTCTTTCTGGCAGGGTAGTACTCCATCATGTGTAAACACATTTTCTCTATTCATTTATTTGCTGATGAACGTATCCGGAAGCATTAAGGACATCATACTACGGTGATTCACGCACACCCATCTTCACAGCAGGCAAGTTGGCAAGCTATGGCCACCTCGACTGGGCTGCCAGGGTGGCCCTCCCCAGGCAGAGCCTGCCGAGCTCATCTGTTCAGTGGGGGATGTCTTCAGTCTCAGAGAAGGAAGGGCTGGGACCCAAAGCCCAGGGGAGCATGGTGATCACAGCTGCCCAGGGTGTTTATTCCCCTCATGCCCTGAGGGGAACTGGTGCGGTTCTGGGTAGAGAGACAGAAGGGAGCGAATATGGCGAGCATTTGCCCCAGAGACAGAAATGAGGGCTCTCGGGCCACTCAGGACAGTGCTGCAGGACGGGTCCTGGGGATGCAGCACGAGTGGGGTGACTGCGACCGGAGCAGGGCAGTGCTGAGGACGGCAGGGCAGTGCAGGGTGAGGGTGGGGTGGCCAGGCAGCTCTGCATCTGCGGCCATCTCCAGTGGGTGTGTCACTGCGAGGCCTTCAGGGGCAGAGGCTGAAGCCTCAACCCGAAGCAGCTTGGCATCACCCACCCCTTCCGCACGTGTGGGCTTCGCAACTGCGCGACACTCCGCAGGGAAACAACTTTCCCTTCTGAACCGAACAGAATATCCTTCACCAGTTATTGCCCGTTGGTAAATCTTACTCCCTGGTTCTAGTTTCTTTGACACTTACATTCCTATCCACAAATTTAAAAACACAGTAATGAAAAAGAACTGAGAATGTCCACGGAGATGACAGGTCGTGCTTGGAACCGGTCTCTCTAGTTATTAACCAACCAAGCGGATGCCTCACAGAGCCACGGCGTAATTGAGCGGGGCCAACACGGAGCAAACTGACTTAGTTTTGCTTGGAGAATTTCACTTCAAGTGCACAAGAGTCCAGAGCTTTTGCCAAGCTCACCAGCTACACAATTAGAACCCAGATATACGACAGCAAAATTTTAGTCCAGTGTGACCAAAATAGTTTTGAGATGCTTTAAAAGCCTGAAAAAGGGTGATCATTTGATTTGGGACCCTGCAAACCTTTCTCACTTTCCTGCTATCTCTGGTTCTAGCTGAAACTCTGTTTTCTTGTAAAATGAATTTTTTGGCGGTCCCAAGAGCAGAACAGCTAAGGCACGTCCTGCCTTCTGTCTTTCCAACCTGGGGACAGTGTGGGTGTCCCTGGGAAGATGCCCTCCTGCCTCCGGAGCAAGCAGCTCAGTTAGGGGACCCTGGCCCTCACAATTCTGTCTGCTGCAAGGAGACCTTGTAACCCTGCTGCAAAAGGAGGAAAGTGTATTGTTGCACTTGCTCATATATGTGGTTTTCATGAAAATAGATTTTCACACAGACATAAATTTCACTGTGAATCATTTTTGAAAACCTTCTCCTCTCCCCATAAATACATCCAGAACTGCTGTGGGGATTCACCTGGAAATTCACCTTCCACTTGGACACCTCTACAACAGAGTGCAGCTCCATCTCCTGTAACTTCTGCCCAGCAGGGGCTGGATCCCGGAGGACACGTTTCCAGGGTTAGTCCTTTCCCATCCTGGGACACAACACTCAACATCCACAACTTAAAGGAGCAGAGGTTTAATTTGGCTCATGGTTCAGGGGATTCAGTCCATGGTTAATTGGCTCCAAGGAAGGAACATCATGGCTTGGGGGAGCAAAGCTGCTCAGTTCATTGCCAGGAAGTGGGGCAGGGAACAGCACCAGAGAGGAAGAGGAGGGAGCAGATACGGCAGCAGAGGTCACCCATCCGTGACCTCACAGACACACCAGGAGCGTGCTTTGCTAATCCCCACCCCAGCTGGCTCCCAAGCCAATCAGGTTGCCCCAACTAAGCGGACCACTACAGGTCCTGACCCCTGGTCAGCAACTCTCCAAATGCCAGCAGGCCGGGCAGCCATGATGTCCCCTGCCAGGGACGCTCATGTCCAGCCAGGCTTGACGGGTGGCAGGACATTTTCTCTCCATGTTAAGTTCAAGGTTTCGGAAAATCAGATGGAGTGAGTGAGAAAGTTCTGAGAAAACCTGTGTGCTTAGTCTCTCACCCCAAGCCTGGCTGTTCTGACGGAGCGGGAGACAGTGTTGTGGGGGCAGCTGTGGCAGGTTCCCCACCCTCATCCTTCTGCTCAGCAGGAGGGGTGTGCTCACCACGCCCACCTCACCCAGCTGCCCCCAACTTCCTTTTGCAGCTCAGGCTAAGCCCCGCCCCACAGGCTGCCAGGTCTGTCACCCGACCCTGCAGGCCCCGGGAAGCTGGGCACACAGCAGCCCGTCAGCCAGACAAGGCGCCCATGGGCTTTTGCATCAGAGAACCCTATGCACACCACAGACTCCACCTCTGTTCGGTTCTCTCCAATTGTTAACAGACCGCAAGAACTCAGCATTCAAACCCTGAGTCGTCAGCATCCTCAGAGGACACGATGCCTTGACACTCCAAGGGGTGACCTAGTGCCTCTCCTAAGGGCAAGAGGTCAGCAGAAATGACCAAGGCAGCACACGTCAGGGACAGAAAACATCCTCTGAAACAACACACAGCTATGAAAATAAAGAGCAGTTTCAATACCGAAGTGAAATGCACATTTGCCAACCGAAACACTTCTGAGTTCTATCATCTTGCAAACAGCTGAAAAGCACACACATGGTCGCTGGGGTGACTTTTACCTGCTTGGTCTTTGAAGATTTTTGAAATGACAACAGGAACACTGTGCTCGGCACCTCCCTGGAAGACAGAGATGGCGGAGGAAATGGTGACCCTGATTCGTGCTGTCCACTCACAGAAAGGGGCACAGGAAAGGGGAAAATGTGCTCCTACCTTTATGCTGAGGCCCAGGCCACCCACGGGCTGTCTGCAGAGTGTAACAGTTCTGTGCTTTAAAAAATTTTAGAAAAATAAAGTAAGTTTAGGTTAAAATGCACAATCAAAAAGTGAATGCAAAATGTACATGGATACTTGAAACTGTTCTCAACACATATTGGCAAGGCAGCATTGGCACCATCCCTAATCCTCAGTCCATGGCACAGAACATAGGGAAGCCCAGGGACGGAATTTGTTCCTGTCACTGCATCACCGTGGGGATGGAAGGGGACCGGGGAGCAGGAGGAAGAAGAGAGGGAGGTGGGGAATGGGATGGAAAATGGTCAGCACAGGCTGCTATGGCCTTGTACCAAGCTCCCCAATGAAGGTCCTCGCACTGTATTACAAAACACACGGATACAAAGACAAAAAGACAGAAAGAAAGGAAAGCTGGTCTCTCCCACTGATTCCCCCTGGGGTCCTTCTTTGCCCTAAGTCTCTGTGGCTTCAACTATGTTCAGCCCAGTTTCTAAGTCACCAGCGTTCATTCAAGAGAGAGCGATTTTTTCATGCCCTCTGCCCACAGGGGGCAACAAAAGCCAACACACAATGCGCCGTTCTCTGGACGGCAGCGGGCAAGATCTGCTCTTGCCTCTGATCGTTCCGGGGTCTTTGCTGAAGACCTGGGTCCGCAGGCAGCTGCTGAGCAGGAACGGTGAAGGGCATCTGTACCTCAAAGGAACCCGCAGGGCAGGTGCCCACACTGGGCTCTTGGCAAGGAACTGCAGCTGGCCATGCACCTACCTCAGCCCCAGCAGCCGCTGGCGAATCCACGAGTACTCTTAGGAACGAACGCGATGGAAACTCAGTGGGAACCAGCCAAACCCAACCACCAATGCCCTCCCCGAAGTGCGTATGGGGCAAGTGTTTCCCAGGACAGGGCATGTTTAATGCACGTTTAACGGGTGCCGTTTTCTGCAATCACACAGAACAGGGATGCCTGTTGGGCTGCTTACACTTCCTGGTTCTAGGCTGCGGTCCTCAGGAGGCCCCTTGACCTGTGTTCCTTGGCTCCCTCTACTGGACATATACAGTATTTGCGTGAAGTGCCAAGAATGTCCGCTCTGGACATGCAGCAGCACACAGGACTTCAAACCAGTTCCTGGCCGCATTATTCACCACAGCCATCACATGAAAACAATGGAATACTAGTCAGCCTTCAAAGAGAGGTTGACCTCATGGATGAGCCTGGAGGACACTATGGCAATTGAGGCAAGCCAGGCACAGAAAGACAAACACTGTGTGATCTCATGTGTACCTGATCTCTGAAAGAAGACCCCATCGGAGCAAAGAGCAGAGCAGTGATGGAGTGGGTATGGGTGGGGTGGCAGTGTGGGCCACCGCACAGCTTTAATTCAGTTGAGTAAGTTTTGTTTCTACGATGACGATGGGCAGGTGATGATGGCTAGTAATACTGCATTATAGTTGCTAAGAGAGTGGGTCTTACATGTATGCATACACACACACATGGTAACTATGTGGGGTGACGAATGCATTACTTAGCATGATCCTGCTCACAGTAGCAACCTGTATCACAGCATCACACTGCCACCTTAAACATGCGGGTTTATTTGTAATCACACCTGTACCCCAACAAAGCAGAGCCCCACCACCACCACTGTGGGCAGAGCATCCGGACACCCATGTAGAAGGGAGACGCCAGGCAAGCACAGCATTTCTCTTCCAAAGAACAGAGACTCGATGCTGGGGTCAACAGTCTCACGGTGGGCAGGAATCGACAAAGGAAAGAGGAGTTCAGTCATTCGCACACTGTTCCCCTAGACAAACACAAATCCTCCTATATTAAGGGACAGAGAGGGAGTGGGCTGAAGGAATCCACCTGCCCTTCTCCCACGGTCACTGCCACACACCGTATGCTTCTAAGTCAGCTTTCCCAAGCAGCAGAGTATTAG